TGAAACACTCAATGTACAGTTTATGCAAATCCGCCAAAATAACAGTCCAATGCTACCGTTTCTGTATGTATCCGAATTTCCGATTCTCTGTGAACTTTCTGCCACGCGTCTCCAACTTCACTTCCTTCTTTCGTTTCCTGTTTCAAATGTTTCAAATGAACCTGAATTGAAATAAGTCATTCAAATTTCTAAAATGGTCAATAACTTTAATGCAGGCTTCAATCTGTTTTATCCCTGAAATAACAAACAATCTATATTTGTATTACATTACAAAGTCCTCTTGACAGGTGTGAACAGCTTTGCTAAAGGGCACCCGTGTTTCTCAGAAATTACTTCTTTAATCCACAGGGAGCCTGAACCTTCTATCTGAGCTACTTCCTCCTCAACAATTTTTTTTTTGTTGTGTGTAAGTATGTCCTTATCAAAGGTGTGGAGGAATCAATCATCTAATTTACATTCATATTTTCATTGTATTTCTCAGACAAGGGGACATTGTCTTTTAAACTGTCGCTAGTATAGCCTACCTTAATTATTTGGTTCATATTATCTTTTGCCACAAAGACTGACACCAGGGCTGGTATCCAAAGACATAACACAATGAAGATGAATCACAGCAATCTTCATCATGATTTCTGAATTCTCCTGCTTTCAAGGCTTTGTCAACCACAGCCAAATCAGAACATATCTCATTTGGCTTCACTTTTCTGAACCATGTGCCATGATTTCACAAGCAAAAAGAAGAGTTGAGAGTCTCCATCTCGGTACGAAAAGAGAGAGGAAAAAGGTCAGACTGTTGCTAACAAGCTGATTTTTGCAGAGTTTCAACCGTTACCATAGCGACGTATTTCTCCAGTTTCCGGTTTCAAAATGAAAGTACAGCGTTTGTACAGTTTGTACCTGGCAGTGTCACAACTTTCATGTCTTAACCTTACACAATTCTGTATGCTTAAAGTTAATTTCTTAAGTATGTTCAATGTGAAACTATCACTTATGTATACACCATACATAAGTGATAGTTTAACATTAAAAGTCCCTCCAAATGAACCTGAATTGAAATAAGTCATTCAAATTTCTAAAATGGTCAATAACTTTAATGCAGGCTTCAATCTGTTTTATCCCTCGAATAACAAACAATCTATATTTGTATTACATTACAAAGTCCTCTTGACAGGTGTGAACAGCTTTGCTAAAGGGCACCCGTGTTTCTCAGAAATTACTTCTTTAATCCACAGGGAGCCTGAACCTGCTATCTGAGCTACTTCCTCCTCAATCATTGTTTTGTTGTTGTGTGTAAGTATGTCCTTATCAAAGGTGTGTAGGAATCAATCATCTAATTTACATTAATATTCAAATTGTATTTCTCAGACAAGGGGACATTGTCTTTTAAACTGTCGCTAGTATACCTTAATTATTTAGTTCATATTATCTTTTGCCACAAAGACTGGCACCAGAGCTGGTATCCAAAGACATAACACAATGAAGATGAATAACAGCAATCTTCATCATGATTTCTGAATTATCCTGCTTTCAAGGCTTTGTCAACCACAACCAAATCAGAACATATCTCATTTAGCTTCACTTTTCTGAACTATGTGCCATGATTTCACAAGCAAAAAGAGTACTTTTCGACTTTAAAGATCAAACTCTTGATAGCTGGGGATATCACTATTCTGGGATATTATCACCATGCTCAGCACCATCTTTGCCTTCTTTGACTAAGATAGGAAGGTTGTATTTAAGTCACGCAAAAATAAAAAGAAGAAGGCATTTTTACACATCACACTGTGGTTTACCTATTAAAACCCACCAGTATTTTTATCAGGTATGTCAAAGGGCAACTTAAACCATCTGCATAATAACATGATGCACCATACAGCAGATCTGAACACAAACATCGAGTCATACAATACAAATCCAATAATTCTGTTTAAAATCTTAATGAAGATGTATTATACTAATGAAATAATTCATATTTAATTCTCAATCCATTGTAAAGGTTTCACAAAGCCAGAAGGGTAAACACTGCATGCTCAGTTTAATTGTATGACAATATTGTTGCTAATTGTTGAACATGGTGTGATTCATTAGGCCTACATTTAGTATTGATCATCATTATCCCTAATGAGATACAAATGAGAAGAATACCACTAATTGAATTACTCTAACATTTAACCTGCAAATGAGCTTCAATGAGCCCTAAGATCTTAATGATTTTATTTGTTTGTTACAATGAGCCGCTGACAGGTATCTATTATTATGTCCTCCTGGAAGATATTAAAGGTTTATTGTTTAGTGATAGTTACCAATTACTGTTATTGGTCCCATGATAGCTGCAGACATCACAGTTAAAAAAAATTAAAAAAATAATGGCCTCCATGATATCAGTACAACATTCAAATGTAGTTATATTGCCAATTATATTTCAAATGCAAGCATATAGATGTTGTATATTAGTACCTACAGTAATATACATGAACTTGGACAAATAAAAAAGAAACATAACTATAAAAGAGAAATAAAATAAAATAGGGCTGGAAAGATGTGGACAAGTGACATAAATATATCTAAGGAAAATACAATGAAAATACAAAAACAAATCTTAAAAGTAATACCATGTACAGACAGTTTATCTAATCTAATGGTAAAGAAGTTGAGTGTTGCAACTGGTAGTTTTCTGCAGGAATCATACAATTATCTGATGAATGGATAGTAGCACTAAGTATACAAATATAGTCCCAATGATGTTTGTCAATGTAACGCTATATACAATGTGAACATGGTAATGTAATATGTAGTGTCTGGCGTCATCAAACATTACAAATATTACTTTATGTTTCAATTTTCCTGGAATTCAGAAAACAAAAAAGACAAGGGAGAATAGCATCAACAGGTGGCAGCGTTGCACTGTGTTGCATGAATACAACTTGAAAACATTTGAGTTTCATTTCTCTTGCAGTCCATCACTAGCGACTGTTCAATGTTAGGCAACCTAACAACCCAAACTCACACAAAGCTATTACCTTTTCATCAGATGGGTTCTGCGGCTGCCTTGATTGAATTGATCTACAAATAGACAACCCTAGCAAACAAAGTTATCATAATACACCATACAGGTTTCCACATTTAGGTTTCATTTCCTTGAATCTATTTTGGTAGAGTGCCCTCCCTAAACCTATAAAGAGTCACCGGTGCTCACACGTTGTTTGTATACTGTACAAATCAGCTGTCAGTGTTTTGTCTCTTTCTCAGCCACCAGCTTCATTGGCACTGACAGGATGACAGATCCGGAGTGGACTAGGAAGTTTGAGATCACAACAAGAGATCTTAAACATGGAGACTCCTGGAGTCTGGAGTTTGATGAGAATCTTGTGGATGTTCGCCAAAAACCAGGCTGGAAGAAGTGTATTGTGCACACAGGGGCAAGGTCAGTGTGATGGACTATATTACTGTAGTTGGTGTAAGATAAGATAAGATAAGATAAACCTTGACTGACCCCAAAGGTCAATTCAGTGTGTGTGGTATTTCATATATAGATAGTGAATGCATTTTGTATATTAAGGTTTGAATCTCTGTCTATGTACATGCACTACTTTTGTTGCATGGACAAAGATCATGTGGTATTATTGTAGTGACTTGTGTGTAATTTGAGAGGAAATTATTCTTTCTTCATATTTTTACTTTTAAACTAGCTTATATCTATCAATATTGTTTAGCCAAATCATTTGGGTGGCCAAGTGATGTTTACAGTAACCTAACATATCATTTATTTTTATTTTAGGAAATCGCTGCCTCGAAATGCTTAAGCTTAATCTTTCCAGTGTAACTTTGGTTGGTTTTCATTTAGCTAAAGTGCCTCTATCATTTTTAAGGTTTCGATGCACCAAGTGTAGCAGAGGCTGGTCTTCTAACATGGTGATGGTGGTCTGCCACATGCAACTGAGAAACGGGGAGGGCGTTGTGAAGGTGAGGCCCTCTTGTCAGAAGTGTAAGGAGTGCAGCGAAGCCCCGATGGAGAAGCCCAGCATCCCCTCCGACAACATCTTCACCCTCATGAAGAATCTGGTGGAGAAGATAAGAGTAAAATGTTACAATGAAAACCTGGAACGAAAGAAGAAGCATTTTAGAAACTTTGACGGCAACAAACCCCATGAGCCTGCTCATTGTGAAGCCTGTATGAGAGGCTTCTGTCCAAAGAACCGCTCTTAAATCAGCTTTATTGTTTATACAACAAAAATGATGGAATTGTTTCCGGCTTTTCAATAATATGCTATGCCTCAGCTAATATTAGCAAAATAGGAGTTACTCCTTGTCATTCTGTTGCATTCAAGTACATGTAAGCTTTCATATAATTATTGTTGTTGGTTTTTCCTTGTTGTATGTTCTATTACAAATGTAAATATGTTTCTCAAAAGCATTAAAGCAGCCTTCTTACAAATAAATGTTATATATCATCAGAAGATTTTACAAGCAATAAACTAAACATGTTTGTTATTTGAGTTTGGGTGTTTTCTGTTTTCAAATAAATGAACATACCCACACACGCACACACACACACACACCTACTGTACACACATACAAGACAAGTCAACATAATAACAGCAAGTGGCAGTGTTGCATGAATACAACAGGAAAGTGTTTCAGTTTCATTTCTTTTGCAGTTTTCATAAGTGAAAGCTATGAAGTTTTTATGAAAGACTAAGGGAAACATCATATTTAAGTTAATACACACTAATCACATTTTTTTGTGTGCAACTTATTCGTAAATGAAACTTAACTTTAGTCAACTAGTCAATACTAGTCATAAATCACTGAGTCATAAATTAATTACATGGGTGTTACCTTCTCTTCATGTCATATAAAAATGCTATTGGTATATTTATAAGACGCGGCATCTGCCCCATCAAAACAACCCTGTCACTCCTCATTCCATGGGTTGTTGACATCTAGACACGAAACTTAAGGAAACCAGGTTTCTGTTTTTAAGTTTCATTTTCATTAACTCTATATAAGGCTACATGACTCCGCTGTTAGTGTGTACAGATCAACAGGATGGCACAGCCGGAGTGGATGAGTATTTTCCAGATAAAAACAAATGACCTTCCAGAAGAAGACTCCTGGCGTCTGCAGTTTGATGAACATATTGTACCTGACAGCCCGAACTTTGGATGGAAGCAGTACATCAGGAACACCAGTGCATGGTCAGTGAACAAGTATACTGTAAATTGATATGGTGCTGTGTGTATATAGATATGGTATACGTTAGGTTAATATAAAGTATAGTTTAGTGGATGCATTCGGTTTATAAAGGTTTGTTTATGTACATATACTGGTACCTAAAGAGCAGTGTGTTGGATTTATAATGTATTTGACAGATATAGAAAATAATCATTACAACTATGTTTCTTTACATGTCCTTATAGGAATAAATGGTCGTCTGATTAGTGGACCAAAATGGGTCCCCACAAAGTAAATTAGGTACATTCTAGGAAAGGATAAGGGTCAGGTTAGGGTTAAGGAATTGAATGTAAGTTCATGCTTTGTACAGTGTAACAAAAGCTTAGTTATGGGGTTTGAGTTCTATTTGTGAAAAATAAATAACATTATTAGGAAGATCATATGTTTTAGACGGGAAACCCTTGTATAGCAGAGTATTTGTCATTTTGTTAAAGGGCCAGTGCAGAATTCAAGTAACTTTGGTCGTCTATCATTTTAAGGTTCAAATGCACCTCCTGTGGAAGAGGCTGGCCATCCAACCGGGTGATGGTGCTCTTCAACATGCGCCTGACAGAGCGGGAGGGCGTGGTCAAGGTGAGGACCTTCCGTCAGAACTGCAAAAAGTGCAGCGCAGCTCCGATGGAGAAGCCCACCATCACCCCCGACAACATAGACATCCTCCTGGAGAATCTGGTGAAGAAGATAAGAATAAAATGCTACCATGAAGACCTGGGCGAAGCACAAAAGCCTTATCAAACCCTTGAAGTCAAAAGTCCCCATGAGCCTGCTCATTGTGAGGCTTGTATTGCAGGCTACTGTACAAGGGTTTAAGCTTGTAATGCTCTCAAACTTAACCTAATTTAAAATATTAATATATGTGTCTCAGGCTTTGTGTAACACACTTTAGTAAAGCATCAATTGTATTTGATCTCCCCTCCTTTCTTGCTGTTTCATTGTTGGTTGCTTCTATCATACTTACAGTATAAACAATAGTCAAGTTCATGCAAGCTTTTATATTTATTCTTTTTGGGGGTCAAAAGTCCTTAAGATATGAAGTTGTCTTCTCCAAAGCATTAAAATAACATTCTTACAATCAGAAATGTTGGGAATAATTGAAGTATATACAAACAATAATGGTGTGAATGTGTTCTGTTTTCAAATACTTTTGTCTGATTTTAAATGTAATGTATGATTATTGCACAAAAAGGAAAGATATAAGCATGTCAATGAATTTGGACACTTGAAGTACAGTTTTTATAAAGTAGTCACTAAGATACCGGTAAACTAATCTTTAAACAGTACAATGTTTAACCCATAAGAACCCAGACCCATTTCCACTTTTGGGGAAATTAAGGGGAACATAATTTAGACTAAATTGTTATGATCCGTATTAGTTTTCCCTGTTTTATTTTGTCCAGTCAAGATCTGCTTTCCTGTTTTATTTTTGAAAAGTATTCTGTCAGTCTTGTTGTGGGTTTTGAAGTCGTTGGAAGGATTCTGTTCTGAGGGATTTAATGTTTTGCCTTGCCTTATTTTACTTTGTTGCCTGGCCTAGTTACGCAATTAAAGGATTTTTTGATTTTCAACCAACCTTCTGCATTTGCGTCCTGTCTACCATGCCCTCCAGTCGTGACATAAGTAGACCACATAGAACACATTTCTGACATTCCCGCCCCCCCCCCCCCCCCCCCCCCCCCCCCCCCCCTCCCCATAGTGTCAATTATCTGAAAAGTGACATATATGTCACATTGGGCTTTAATGGTAAAGTAACTCTTATTTATAACTTAATTGATTTTTTGTTTAAATATGTTTGAACATTAAAGAATAAAGAATATATTAACTAAAAATACCATAATTGAATCAGCTAAATTAACTGAGCAGATCATAATAATATTTCTGATTGTGCATATATGTCACTCCGGGTTTACTGTGAAAGTTTAGGGTTAAAGTCCCGATGTGACACCAGTGTCACAGCGATATTTATCTAATTTGTTTCATATCAATTTAATCAAGAAATGTTTCCACAAAAGGTTAAATCTAATAAAGGACATGTTATGTAAGCATTTTAATTCTTAAATGGATTGAATTTTACCTTTAGCAACAAAAAGAAAGCTTTTGAAATGTGGTTAGTTCTGTCACATGTGTTAGCCTGGCACATGGACATCTTGGACATGTTGTTATGGGAACACAAAATCACATGACCTGGCCCATGAGTCATGACCCACCAGACTGTTCAGGGTGTGTCACTGATAGACTTCATGGGATAGAAACAAGGCTAAAACTGTAGAAGGAACTTTCCAGAACATTTAAATGTCATGTAACACCTGTGTCACGGTGGGTCCTTATGGGTTGAATAAAAAATATATATATAGACCAGTTTAAAGGACAATTTTGAGAAAAAGGGACATTTTGCACACAGTAGGTCCTTTTTTATGCATGGTATCAGTCGTAAAGTGTCTGTGCCAAACACGAAGTGAGTGATGCACTTTATCTATAACACAGCACATTTCCTCACACTTCATTAACACAAGATTAATCAAAGAAGAATACTGCCTGGTGTTGGTAAAAAGCCTCAAGGATGTTATACATTTCGAAGCAATTTAGTTACAATAAATCACATTCTGTAGAGCAATATAATATAAAGAAAGGTTGTGTTTTTTCCCGTGGTATGTATGTGTTTTGTACCATGTTTTTCTGTGTTTCTGCTTAAATAAATAAAAAATGTGATGGAAAAAGAAGAAAGGTTGGTTTGCAACCTGACAACATACTGTAATGAAAAATGCAAATAGTTTGGCATGCAGGACACCAGAGGACACATGTTTCTCAAAGGCCCTCCACTGTTTATTTGCGTACAACCAACATGTGTGACGCTGATGCCGCTATGGTCAGTCTTCACCGTCCTCAAGTCACACCGTGTGGTACAACACATAAACGGTGGTTTATCTTTGTTTTATATGAAACCACCTTCATGGAAAGTAGCCGCCTTGCATTTCCCACATCATTTGCCAGGGGTTTGTCCACATCACGCTTGGTTTACTTTGGCAGTTTGTATATCTTGGACACTGACGCTGAATTTAGTCTTGCTGAAGTGAGTTTTCCGGTGGTGAGTGGTGGGTATGCCTTTGCTTTCTGACAATGGTTATTCACAGTTATATATGACTCTCCTGTTCATGCAATTGACAACTAAAGCAAATGTTCTCATAGAGCAGTGTGATAATTATTCTGTGATTTCCAGGCATGTGATACGGTAAAAAAGTGCTTTCATCTGACAACTGTAGAAAGATAAATATTCAACTCTTGACATCATGACACCTAAGGGGGCTACACTGAAGGTAAAGTATCTCCTAACCTTACATGTTGTGTATGTTTTCTGTGTTATTTTAAGGCTACATACAGCATTTGGTTAAATCTGAAAAAAAATCTATAATTAGTGCTTTTAGTTACTTACATTGACAAATGAATGTAATTGTATATTCTAGGGTCTCCCACCATCAGTCATGGCCACTGTGGTCATGTTACTCATTCTGATACCAGGTAAGAGCTTTTTTGGAAAGCACCATTTGAAGTAATAGGCCTGCTTACATAACATAATCTAAAAACAAATAACACAAAGGAATGATAAGATGCAGGTTAATGTGTACTGCATGCACAATTATACTATGTTGTATGTATGCAATGTTGTCTGCCAAATGCAGGAAGATTTAAATTCCTTTATATTTTTAATTAATATTCTTAAAGAAAGTCCATTGAATTCCCAGTGATTATTGTGAATTAAAGCACAGGCAATCTTCTTACACATTATTCCAGTGACATGCAGATCTATAAAGTCCAAAAACCTTTTTTATAGAGCTTTTCATTTTCTAATCTTCTTCTCAGCTGCGGACAGTGCTATCCAGATAAACTGCTCTGAACCGAGCCAGCCCGCCCTGCTGGAGGCTCTGGCTCCAATCTTTAACCTGAGCGCCATACGACCTGTCATGAACTTGACCACCCGCACCAAGGTCAACATATCCTTCATCATGTATGGGATACTAGGAGTGGTATGTTTCAGCTCTTAGTAAAGGATCATTTAAAATCTGAATGTGGCTTTTGTCTTAGAATTAAACTCTTCCGTTGTATGGTATGTTAGGCAAATCACTTAAAAGTTATTTGTATACCAGTAGGAGCTTTATGAATGTATAATTTAGTATTGATAAATCACCAGAAAAGCAACATCCTCTGTTATTCTGCTTCTTTCTTCAACCAAATGTAATCTGATTTAAACCGCTTCTTTCTGGGCTCCACTGAGACTTCCTTTCGGATTTAAATGGTCCCAAAGAAATATCTTAAAACAGCAACACCTTCTGTCTTTAACCATCTCTTCTTGTCTTCCAGGATGAAAAGGGTCAACTCTTGCTTACCTACCTTTGGCAGGATTTTGTACGTATTCCAATGATCCATCATTACGTCTTAATCATTAATGACTGGATAATGATGGGACATTTTAGTGAATTATGTGAATGTACCATCAATTATACAAGATCTGTACACTGACACAGTTTTTTTGATTTAGTGGTGGATGAACGAGTTTGTCCGCTGGGATCCAACGCAGTGTGGCTCCGATAAGATTTCTCTTCCCAGGAAAAAGTTTTGGGTGCCAGATATTGTCATCAATGAATTGTGGGTATACAGTATATATACATCCTTTACAGACAAGCAAATCATTTCGCAAAACAATTGGGAACTTTAGCTTTTATCAAACATCGCTCAAAAGCCATAAATAGTGCATTTTATTTAAGGATTATATTTGTTTAGTCGTTTGGTGTGCTAGGGGGTATTTCCATCAGCAGGGCTGCATGTGTTCATTCATTGTGGTGAAAAAAAGATCTCCCAGAACTAGTTGACAGATTGTTGTGTGGTCAGATTAATGCTTAACACGAAATACTTTAAAATGTTGTCTTCTCGTGGGTTTTAGGGACAAGGGCACACCCATTTAAATTCAGAAATATAAGGTGCAATGCTCTTGTTTTGCAGACATTTGACTCGTAACTGCTCTGCTTGTTCCTGTCTTGCAGTATGGATGAAAACACAGCCCCCTTTGTGCCGTATGTGTACCTGCACAGCGATGGTAGGGTGCACGATGCCTCACCAATCAGAGTGGTCAGTTCCTGTAACCTCGATATCTACACTTTTCCCTTCGATATACAGAACTGCACTATGACTTTCAACTCCTACATCCACCTGGGTAAGTCCCTTCACCAAAGGTCTAATTTCCTTTCCTAAAATAACTCTGTATGCCAGGTTGAATGCCAGAAATGTAAATGCATATGTAAATAAGAGGCAGTAAATAGTTTTTAGCCCTATTGTAAGCAAATGAAATGTTGAACGTTCAAACATCATCTTCACAACACATTTGCTTTTTTTTTTTACCATGACCACCGACCAAACTTAAATATATACTCCATAATCATGTTTTTTTTTTTTAAAGTTTGTTGTTATGAAGTTACCCCTGTGACCTCAGAGTTAGGATTATAAGTACACATTTGTGTTTCTTAACTGACACAAATCATCAATGAAATGTAAAGAATCTAGAGTAGACCCATATTTACTTTGGAGAAACTATACATTTATATATGTATGTAATGTATGTTGTGTGGCCTTAACTTTACAGGATTATATATATCTTTGATTTATTCTCTCCCCAGCTAAGGACATAATGATTGTCCTGGATAGGGATGCAGAAAACATCACAAAGCTCTCCAAAACCTGGATGACCACCATGGGAGAGTGGGAGCTGCTGGATATCACCTCCCATCACAGTGAAGGAGATATCGGGGGGAATTACATTGATGAGCTTGTATTTCATGTAAGTGTGTGTCATTTTCACAACCTGGCCTTGAATTAAATTCCAGTCTCAGATTTTAAAGGTGTATATTTGGTTTTGAACTTTTGAAGCAAGCATGTTTAAACATGTTTTAGTTTGCTTCATCATTCTGTCCTGTAATGTTTTCATTTGTCAAACACACCTTATATAAGGCCCATTAAAATCATTCATTGTGTAGCTGCAGTTATTATACTGTATGGGGACTGCGTTATGATAGAACACAGAAAAAGAATGTAAAAGCTCAGTGAAATGTTAAAAGTGCATGGAAAAGGTACCAAAGGTTTTGTTTCTTCTATCTGCAGGTCAGAGTGAGGCGTCGAGCCACCCTCTATGTGGTGAACCTGCTGATCCCCAGCTGCTTCCTCATCACAGTGGACCTCTTCAGCTTCCTGCTGCCCCCCCAGACTGTGGACCGTTCCTCCTTCAAGATGACCCTCATCCTGGGATATACTGTCTTCCTGCTCATCATGAACGACCTGCTGCCTATCACCGGAAACACCATTCCTCTCATAAGTCAGTGTTCATTGTATTGACTGAACCCTGTTAACATATTAATGTTTGACCAGTATAAACAGCTGTCCACCTGTTGTACAGTATTGAGCAGAGGTGGGAAGTAGTGGAGTACAAATACTTTGTTACTGTACTTAAGTACATTTTTACTTTACTCCACTACTTATTTTTCTGACGACTTTTTCCTTTTACTTCTTACATTTTTAACACAAATAGCTGTACTTTTACTTCTTACATTTTCAAAACAGGCTCGTTACTTTAGTTTTAATCTGCGTTTGGTGGCGTGATCATTATTATTTCTATTCATTGCATGCCTATTGATTTTAACACGAAAAGGGACCAATGAAAACGTTGTCATTTTGTTCAGAATTGAAACATTCATTAGCTAACAATGACATGATTGTTCTATTACTATAAAGTGAGGTCAGTTACTCTTTAAAACAGTTGGTAGTTATGGATACTTTTTACTTAAGTACATTTACCTACGCTGTAAAACGTATTATCTCTTCGATTTACACACAGCATCTATTGCACGTCTGTCCGTCCTGGGAGAGGGATCCCTCCTCTGTTGCTCTCCCCGAGGTTTCTCCCATTTTTCCCTTTGAAATGTGGGTTTTTCTCTGGAAGTTTTTCCTTGTACGATGTGAGGGTCTAAGGACAGAGGGTGTCGTTTTTTCTCATACTGATATTCTGAACAAACTGTGCTGTTGTATTAGCTGTAACATGTCTTTACTGTAGGGTATTTTTATTATTTGTACAGCACTTTGGCTTGACCAAAAATCGTTTATAAATGTGCTATATAAATAAAACTTGATTTGATTTGATATGATTTGATTTCGAAGCCCATACTTCTTTACTTTTACTTGAGTAAAGAAGTTTAGTCAGTACTTCTACTTTTACCAGAGTATTTTTAAACACTGTACTTCTACTTGAGTAAAGGATGTGTGTACTTCTGCCATCTCTGGTATTGAGTGAGTGCCAACCTGTTTCCTGCCTCTCTCTGCCAGATGTGTTCTTCTCCCTCTGCCTGGCTCTGATGGTGACCAGTCTGCTGGAGACTGTCCTCATCACCAACCTGCTGTGTGGCTCGGCCGACTTCTCTCCCGTCCCTCGCTGGGTCCGAGTGTTTGTTCTGGAAATTATGGGCCGTCTGGTTTGCCTGCCTCAGAAGACTAAAGAAAAGAGTACATTCTGTACGAAATATAGGCTTTTAAGATTTAGATAAGATTAGATCAGAAACACTTTATTGATCCCAATTTGGGACATGTTTGCGTTGCAGCAGCATAAAAAGGCAATGTACATATATGTACATTTCAGAAAATGACTAGTACAGAGTCATTAAGATGGATGTTGTTTATACACACACACCACTTAAGAAGTGAATGTAATAATTGTTTCTTTCAAAACTAGGCATGAAACCCTACACTGAGGCGACACAGCAGAAAGCTGACGGGCCTCCAGAGGAGAAGGGGCCAGCGCTGGAGGACAAGGCCCTTCAGGAGCTCAGGAGCCTGGGTAGGGACCTCCAGGCCATCCGCCTCCAGGTGCAGCAGCAGGAAGGAAGCCAGAGCTCGCAGGAGTGGATCCAGGTGGGTTTCATCATAGACCGCCTGCTGTTCGGCCTCTACATCCTCTTCGTATCAGTCAGCTTCATTACCATCATCATAATCTGGGGGAACTCATACAGCCCATAGACAATGGCTGTCTGTTTAAAGGGGCAACATTCATGACTGAAACAGTTGTTGAGTAATAATCACTCTGATCATCTTATTGTTTTGTTTGGTAACAATATATATTTAAACATATTCTTAATCTATTGTCTTACTTTTACTCATAACCTATGGTCAAACCATCACTACCGGATATTCAATTTACTTTATCACATTTATATAGTAGTTCTTAGCATTTGAAGCGGTTGTATCTGCATTCGTTATATTTCATTCATATAATTGCATTCATTGTGCCATTCTAAAATCATTGGAAATCCTTGTGAAAGAAATAAAATTACTTGAAAAAAAATTCATTCAGCTTGCGATTGACATTTATTTCAAACATAATAAGCATGTTCAAATTGTTTTCCTATTTATTCATTAATTGTAATGCCAGTATTGCATCCTATATTCTATTACTATGGACATCCAATCACAAGACTTTGAACATACAGTAGCTGCAGTGATAGGTCAGGTACTGATGGCTCACAGTCATGCTGAAGGTTTTGGATGAGGTTAGGGTTGGAAGCTTTGCTGTCCTAAGATCACTGAATAGTATTGTATCTAATCTAGATATCCCTTACAACCAAGGGACTGAGACTAGTATGCACGGCCATCATTTCTGCAATATAGTGAATGTTGTATTCAAACTACATAAAAAACATGGTTTCACTTTTTTCACTATTTTTGTATTCTTATCTATTATTTCTTAGAAGGTAAATATATTGTATTTATCTATGTAAATATGCAGAGCTTGCTACGGTGTGAGCAGGAGGGTACAATTATTTGCCCAAACATAACCCTGGTGTGCTGTTGATCACATTTAAATGTAAATCAAACTGAAACATGTTAATTGTTTTCTCATGTTGACAACCTTGATACTCAAAATGTCCCTTTTTTATTTTTTAAAAATAGTTATTTGAATCTGGATATTTTCTGAGGGTTTCCTACTGTTGGGATTCAGAGCTTTTAGACATGCCACATTTTAAATAAATTCACGTGGCTTCTTAAAGTGCACTCACACTTACAAACACAATTATACATATTTCATTTTCACTTTTCTCGAGTCTGTTCAAGTCTGTACTTTTCACCTAAAATGTGTGTAGAAACAAAATAGCCTAAACCACCAGCACATCACTCAAACTAACAACGGCTTTTGACCCAATGTTAATGTTTTTAGCACTGCCCGCTGAAAGTCAAGCCTTCTAAGGTTCTATTCATCTTCATCTCTGTGCTCATGCATGGTAAGTACAGCTCCTCCCCTAATAATGGGTTCATCAAGAAACTATACCATTTATTTTTATATTTGAATCATTAATACGTTTGGGAAATGCCTTTACTTGCTACTAGTACGTGCAGTTAATGTGGTTTGATACTCATAATGACAGATTTCTTTCTTTCAGTAGCTCCGTGTAGTTCCATCATGCAGAACTGCTCTCGACCCGACACACCTTCCCTGCTGGAGGCTCTCCAACCGGTCTTCAAGCTAAACGCAATTCGACCTACCATGAATATGTCAACGCCCACCAACGTCAGCATTGGCTTTGTCCTGTTTGGCATTTTGGGCTTGGTAAGGGACACTATAAACCTGGCCTCACTTCATTTTCAGACCATAATACTGTATGACGGATTGTTTGTTCTTCTTCAGGATGAAAAGGCTCAAGTTCTTAAAATGTATATCTGGCAAGATATGGTAAGTATTCTACAATAAACATCCTTATTTATCAAGCAACAGACCACTAGATACTACAGGACTTAAACTACCAAAAACAAATACTCTAACCTATTATTGTCCAATTACACCAACAAAGGATACTGCTCTTTATTAATGTTGTTTCAATGGGAGTACAAGATATTTTAAAATGTCACCAGCTGGTAACATCTTAAAAAGCTGTAATATTTCCACAGACCTAACTACAGACCTAACTAGTTAGGTCTGTAGTTAGGTCTGTATGTACCAGGTCTTTAGATGTTGTATCAGCGTGATTTGTGTTGCAGAGATGGAGAAATGAATTTGTCGAGTGGGACCCAGAACAGTGTGGTTCTTCAGCGATTACAATTCCAAGGAAACTGCTCTGGGTACCAGACGTGGTCATCAATGAATTGTAAGAGCAGCATTAGCTGTGGATTGACTAATTCACTAAAAGCTGTATTTATGTTTTTTGTTTTTGTTTGGAGTATATGCATATACATATAATGACAAAAGCATTTTGTATTTGTACACAGAAGGTAGATATTACCGTTGATATTTACTGGCTTTTGTCTTTTCCTGTCTTGCAGTATGGAGAAGAATTCAGCTCCATTCGTGCCCTACAGTTATCTGTATTCGAATGGCTTCGTGCTGGATTCACATCCGATCAGAGTGATCAGCTCCTGCAGACTCGACATCTACACGTTTCCATTTGACGTCCAGAACTGCAGTTTAAGCTTCAACTCTTATTTACACCGTAGTAAGTAGAAGATATTTAGTTATTATTGACATCATATACAGTATGTATAAGGTCTCACAAAAGCATTGACTAAATCATTTTTTTCCGCTCAGAGGCTGTTCTGCAGATGAACATCTTTACCTCTGTAGAGGATATTTTAAACCAATCAAAAAAAGTGATGACAACCATGGGTGAGTGGGAACTCATTGGTCTCACAGTGCAGAGGATCACTCTACCAGCTGGGGATGACGAATTGTACCAAGAGATTCGCTTCTTTGTAAGAACATACTGTTGACTTTTCACCTTATTGTAATGCTTTATCTTATTTACACAAGATGAAAGCTAAGAGTAAGATGTAAGAGTTGAAAAGTCTATAGAGACTCTTTTAGTCACCAAATACCTTATGATATATACAAATAATGTTAAGCTTAAGGGTAAAAACGAAATGAATGACATGAATGCAGCACAGCATATAGATGTATGCATGTACCATTATCATACACAGTAATATGAACATATGCAGTAGTCAGTCTGTTAAACCAAACCATTATACTGTATCCAAATGCTACAAATGTGAGTTTTATCCTATTTTTATGCTGTTAAAATGTAGAACACTTTAACTGAGATTTAATGTCATATAATTGAATTTAGCAGTTGATTACAGCTGTACTGTTATATAACTTGAGAAATGTGGTATACACTGCTACAGGTGACAGTGAGGCGCCGGGCCACCCTCTATGTGGTGAACCTGCTGATCCCCAGCTGCTTCCTCATCACAGTGGACCTCTTCAGCTTCCTGCTGCCCCCCCAGACTGTAGACCGTTCCTTGTTCAAGATGACCCTCATCCTGGGATACACTGTCTTCCTGCTCATCATGAACGACCTGCTGCCCACCACTGGAAACACTATTCCTCTCATAAGTCAGTTGTCAATATGTTCTACTTGTGCAAGAACACACAATTCAAAAACTAGTTAATTATTATTATGGTAACTGAGTAAAGGTAATGCTCCCCAGTCCATGTTGAGGTGTTTGCAAGTAGGATCTTTTGGTTCTTTGTTTGTTCTTTTTATTTTCGTCATTATCATATTTTACTGTAAAAGCTCTGAAAACCAACTGTACACTAGCACCAAAAAGCTTCAGCTAGCAACTGGTTGGTGAACATTGTGGAGCAAGTAGAAGCCAGAACCAAATTGTTCCATTGTGTGTAAGTGGAGATCAAATGAGTAAAAAGCAACTGTTCACTGTCACATTTGTACGTTTTAGAGAAATAAAAGGTGATTAAACGTCATGTCAATGGCCTTAATCTTGCATTTTCCTGCCTGGACTTAACTTGGATTTTATTATAAATATCCCAGATGTGTTCCTGGGGCTGTGTCTGGCTCTTATGATGAGTAGTCTAATGGAGACTATCATCATCACCAACCTGCTGTGTGGCTCCGCTCACTACTCTCCGGTCCCTCGCTGGCTCCGATTCTTGGTTCTTCAAATCCTGGGTCGCCTGGTTAGGCTTCCTCCAAAGCCCAGAGATCTAGAGGACACAGTCATCCAGAATCCTGCCACACAAGGTAGAATTTAAAAGGTGTAAGGTGAAACATTTCTTGAAGTCAGCATGCAGAAAAACACATATAAATAATCACAGTTTCCATCACCTCATCTCCTCTGCAACAGAAATGAAAGTCTTCTCTGTGGTGGCAGCGGACAGCGAGGCTCCAAAACAGAAGGGACAGCTGAATAATGACAAGGCCCTTCAGGAGCTGAGGAGCCTGGGTAAGGACCTCCAGGCCATCCGCCTCCAGGTGCAGCAGCAGCAGGGAGGAAGCCAGAGCTCGCAGGAGTGGATCCAGGTGGGATCCATCATAGACCGCCTGCTGTTCGGCTTCTACATCCTCTTCATATCAGTCAGCTTCGTTACCATGATCATAATCTGGGTGAAATCATGAAACATATTCTGAGTTCGCTTTTTTCATATTTTGGGGGATTCTGAACTATTATTTGTTGGTCGATAAAAAACATGATTTCTGTTATTCCTTGTCAGTTTGTACTTCGAAGAGAATTTGAAAGAAGCTTTTTACATTTTGTCCCCCTTTTAAAATACATTTGAATGTTTTGTCATGTATTTTCTTTTGTTGAAAATGGTCTTCCCTTTGAAACAAATATCCGAAACTCCTGTTGACTCTTCTCTTTCAACAATGATTTGCATACACGTACAAACTATTGGACTTACAGTAAAGACTCTAACCTCAAGGTATCTTCCAAACTTAACATGTGTCTCAAAGGTTCTTGGCTTCATTGACAACATACATCTCAACAGTAATAAAGGAGCGGCCATGGTCTTTCACCTTGTGTGTGTGTTTTTTTGTTTGCATCTTATATTCAGATAAATGACTGAATATGAGTGATGAGCTAGAGTTTCAAAACAGATGATTGGAATATATCCACACAATCTCACCAATTTCATACATGCCACAACACATACCTGATTAACATGGTAATGCAATGTAAAGAAAACAAGCATGTTATACTTTCATAAGGAAAAACTGTGAGTTGAGTTAAGCCAATCAGAAGAAAGGTACACAATTTGTTTATACCGTTGACATTTGGCTTTGAGTTGATGGGACAACGACGATGGCAGACATAAAGATGTTTATTTTCATCTGTTTTTCACTACTTCACGGTAAGAAAGAAAGTATAGGATCTTATAATAGTTTGTAGCCTACTTAATCAGTCAAATAAAAAAGAAAGAGGATCTGTTAAAAGCTTGATTTAACTTCCATTGATAACAAACTTTAAAGTTCAAGATGTTGGGAAGAAAATACAAGAGAAAACAAAATAAAATGGATCAATATTAAGTGTGTAGATGTCATAAAGCATTTTGTTGAATAATTCATGAATAGTTTCTACCCTAATCCTGTAGTAGAGCTACGAAGGCGGACTAACCTTTGAGAGAACACATATGAAATATATTTATATATGATATATATTTATTTGGACTGTCTTGTGAATTTAGATTCCTTCTTTCTCTTTTTGAACTCAGGTTTGGTTAAAGAGCCGAAGAATGATAACACGTCCACGTCGGTAGAGTGGCTACTCGCATCATGGTTTGGTTTCGTCAATTTCCATACCCTTCAAAATCATGTCGAATGAAGTACAAACAACTCAGCTGTATGTTCTAGGGCGGTCCTCTAGGTATCTCCGTAGTCCCTGAAAATAAATGTGTTCCTCCACTCAACTTTCTAGAAAAGTATAAAACCTTAATTAAGCACCTGGTAGCCTACGACTTGAGACTGCAACAGATTTCAACTCCCATAGGTGGAGGTGTTGTGTTTTTTCCCGTGGTATGTATGTGTTTTGTACCATGTTTTTCTTTGTTTCTGCTTAAATAAATAAAAAATGTGATGGAAAAAGAAGAAAGGTTGGTTTGCAACCTGACAACATACTGTAATGAAAAATGCAAATAGTTTGGCATGCAGGACACCAGAGGACACATGTTTCTCAAAGGCCCTCCACTGTTTATTTGCGTACAACCAACATGTGTGACGCTGATGCCGCTATGGTCAGTCTTCACCGTCCTCAAGTCACACCGTGTGGTACAACACATAAACGGTGGTTTATCTTTGTTTTATATGAAACCACCTTCATGGAAAGTAGCCGCCTTGCATTTCCCACATCATTTGCCAGGGGTTTGTCCACATCACGCTTGGTTTACTTTGGCAGTTTGTATATCTTGGACACTGACGCTGAATTTAGTCTTGCTGAAGTGAGTTTTCCGGTGGTGAGTGGTGGGTATGCCTTTGCTTTCTGACAATGGTTATTCACAGTTATATATGACTCTCCTGTTCATGCAATTGACAACTAAAGCAAATGTTCTCATAGAGCAGTGTGATAATTATTCTGTGATTTCCAGGCATGTGATACGGTAAAAAAGTGCTTTCATCTGACAACTGTAGAAAGATAAATATTCAACTCTTGACATCATGACACCTAAGGGGGCTACACTGAAGGTAAAGTATCTCCTAACCTTACATGTTATGTATGTTTTCTGTGTTATTTTAAGGCTACATACAGCATTTGGTTAAATCTGAAAAAAAATCTATAATTAGTGCTTTTAGTTACTTACATTGACAAATTAATGTAATTGTTGTTTTTATATTCTAGGGTCTCCCACCATCAGTCATGGCCACTGTGGTCATGTTACTCATTCTGATACCAGGTAAGAGCTTTTTTGGAAAGCACCATTTGAAGTAATAGGCCTGCTTACATAACATAAATCTAAAAACAAATAACACAAAGGAATGATAAGATGCAGGTTAATGTGTACTGCATGCACAATTATACTATGTTGTATGTATGCAATGTTGTCTGCCAAATGCAGGAAGATTTAAATTCCTTTATATTTTTAATTAATATTCTTAAAGAAAGTCCATTGAATTCCCAGTGATTATTGTGAATTAAAGCACAGGCAATCTTCTTACACATTATTCCAGTGACATGCAGATCTATAAAGTCCAAAAACCTTTTTTATAGAGCTTTTCATTTTCTAATCTTCTTCTCAGCTGCGGACAGTGCTATCCAGATAAACTGCTCTGAACCGAGCCAGCCCGCCCTGCTGGAGGCTCTGGCTCCAATCTTTAACCTGAGCGCCATACGACCTGTCATGAACTTGACCACCCGCACCAACGTCAACATATCCTTCATCATGTATGGGATACTAGGAGTGGTATGTTTCAGCTCTTAGTAAAGGATCATTTAAAATCTGAATGTGGCTTTTGTCTTAGAATTAAACTCTTCCGTTGTATGGTATGTTAGGCAAATCACTTAAAAGTTATTTGTATACCAGTAGGAGCTTTATGAATGTATAATTTAGTATTGATAAATCACCAGAAAAGCAACATCCTCTGTTATTCTGCTTCTTTCTTCAACCAAATGTAATCTGATTTAAACCGCTTCTTTCTGGGCTCCACTGAGACTTCCTTTCGGATTTAAATGGTACCAAAGAAATATCTTAAAACAGCAACACCTTCTGTCTTTAACCATCTCTTCTTGTCTTCCAGGATGAAAAGGGTCAACTCTTGCTTACCTACCTTTGGCAGCATTTTGTACGTATTCCAATGATCCATCATTACGTCTTAATCATTAATGACTGGATAATGATGGGACATTTTAGTGAATTATGTGAATGTACCATCAATTATACAAGATCTGTACACTGACACAGTTTTTTTGATTTAGTGGTGGATGAACGAGTTTGTCCGCTGGGATCCAACGCAGTGTGGCTCCGATAAGATTTCTCTTCCCAGGAAAAACATTTGGGTGCCAGATATTGTCATCAATGAATTGTGGGTATACAGTATATATACATCCTTTACAGACAAGCAAATCATTTTGCTAAACAATTGGGAACTTTAGCTTTTATCAAACATCGCTCAAAAGCCATAAATAGTGCATTTTATTTAAGGATTATATTTGTTTTGTCATTTGGTGTGCTAGGGGGTATTTCTATCAGCATGTGTTCATTCATTGTGGTGAAAAAAAGATCTCCCAGAACTAGTTGACAGATTGTTGTGTGGTCAGATTAATGCTTAACACGAAATACTTTAAAATGTTGTCTTCTCGTGGGTTTTAGGGACAAGGGCACACCCATTTAAATTCAGAAATATAAGGTGCAATGCTCTTGTTTTGCAGACATTTGACTCGTAACTGCTCTGCTTGTTCCTGTCTTGCAGTATGGATGAAAACACAGCCCCCTTTGTGCCGTATGTGTACCTGCACAGCGATGGTAGGGTGCACGATGCCTCACCAATCAGAGTGGTCAGTTCCTGTAACCTCGATATCTACACTTTTCCCTTCGATATACAGAACTGCACTATGACTTTCAACTCCTACATCCACCTGGGTAAGTCCCTTCACCAAAGGTCTAATTTCCTTTCCTAAAATAACTCTGTATGCCAGGTTGAATGCCAGAAATGTAAATGCATATGTAAATAAGAGGCAGTAAATAGTTTTTAGCCCTATTGTAAGCAAATTAAATGTTGAACGTTCAAACATCATCTTCACAACACATTTGCTTTTTTTTTTTACCATGACCACCGACCAAACTTAAATATATACTCCATAATCATGTTTTTTTTTTTTTAAGTTTGTTGTTATGAAGTTACCCCTGTGACCTCAGAGTTAGGATTATAAGTACACATTTGTGTTTCTTAACTGACACAAATCATCAATGAAATGTAAAGAATCTAGAGTAGACCCATATTTACTTTGGAGAAACTATACATTTATATATGTATGTAATGTATGTTGTGTGGCCTTAACTTTACAGGATTATATATATTTTTGATGTATTCTCTCCCCAGCTAAGGACATAATGATTGTCCTGGATAGGGATGCAGAAAACATCACAAAGCTCTCCAAAAGCTGGATGACCACCATGGGAGAGTGGGAGCTGCTGGATATCACCTCCCATCACAGTGAAGGAGATATCGGGGGGAATTACATTGATGAGCTTGTATTTCATGTAAGTGTGTGTCTTTTTCACAACCTGGCCTTGAATTAAATTCCAGTCTCAGATTTTAAAGGTGTATATTTGGTTTTGAAGCAAGCATGTTTAAACATGTTTTAGTTTGCTTCATCATTCTGTCCTGTAATGTTTTCATTTGTCAAACACACCTTATATAAGGCCCATTAAAATCATTCATTGTGTAGCTGCAGTTATTATACTGTATGGGGACTGCGTTATGATAGAACACAGAAAAAGAATGTAAAAGCTCAGTGAAATGTTAAAAGTGCATGGAAAAGGTACCAAAGGTTTTGTTTCTTCTATCTGCAGGTCAGAGTGAGGCGTCGAGCCACCCTGTATGTGGTGAACCTGCTGATCCCCAGCTGCTTCCTCATCACAGTGGACCTCTTCAGCTTCCTGCTGCCCCCCCAGACTGTGGACCGTTCCTCCTTCAAGATGACCCTCATCCTGGGATACACTGTCTTCCTGCTCATCATGAACGACCTGCTGCCTATCACCGGAAACACCATTCCTCTCATAAGTCAGTGTTCATTGTATTGACTGAACCCTGTTAAAATATTAATGTTTGACCAGTATAAACAGCTGTCCACCTGTTGTACAGTATTGAGCAGAGGTGGGAAGTAGTGGAGTACAAATACTTTGTTACTGTACTTAAGTACATTTTTACTTTACTCCACTACTTATTTTTCTGACGACTTTTTCCTTTTACTTCTTACATTTTTAACACAAATAGCTGTACTTTTACTTCTTACATTTTCAAAACAGGCTCGTTACTTTAGTTTTAATCTGCGTTTGGTGGCGTGATTATTATTATTTCGATTCATTGCATGCCTATTGATTTTAACACGATCCGTGTATCCATAATTTCCTGGTCTTCTCTAAAGAAAAGGGACCAATGAAAACGTTGTCATTTTGTTCAGAATCGAAACATTCATTAGCTAACAATGACATGATTGTTCTATTAATATAAAGTGAGGTCAGTTACTCTTTAAAACAGTTGGTAGTTATGGATACTTTTTACTTAAGTACATTTACCTACGCTGTAAAACGTATTATCTCTTCGATTTACACACAGCATCTATTGCACGTCTGTCCGTCCTGGGAGAGGGATCCCTCCTCTGTTGCTCTCCCCGAGGTTTCTCCCATTTTTCCCTTTGAAATGTGGGTTTTTCTCTGGAAGTTTTTCCTTGTACGATGTGAGGGTCTAAGGACAGAGGGTGTCGTTTTTTCTCATACTGATATTCTGAACAAACTGTGCTGTTGTATTAGCTGTAACATGTCTTTACTGTAGGGTATTTTTATTATTTGTACAGCACTTTGGCTTGACCAAAAATCGTTTATAAATGTGCTATATAAATAAAACTTGATTTGATTTGATTTGATTTTATTTCGAAGCCCACACTTCTTTACTTTTACTTGAGTAAAGAAGTTTAGTCAGTACTTCTACTTTTACCAGAGCATTTTTAAACACTGTACTTCTACTTGAGTAAAGGATGTGTGTACTTCTGCCATCTCTGGTATTGAGTGAGTGCCAACCTGTTTCCTGCCTCTCTCTGCCAGATGTGTTCTTCTCCCTCTGCCTGGCTCTGATGGTGACCAGTCTGCTGGAGACTGTCCTCATCACCAACCTGCTGTGTGGCTCGGCCGACTTCTCTCCCGTCCCTCGCTGGGTCAGAGTGTTTGTTCTGGAAATTCTGGGCCGTCTGGTTTGCCTGCCTCAGAAGACTAAAGAAAAGAGTACATTCTGTACGAAATATAGGCTTTTAAGATTTAGATAAGATTAGATCAGAAACACTTTATTGATCCCAATTTGGGACATGTTTGCGTTGCAGCAGCATAAAAAGGCAATGTACATATATGTACATTTCAGAAAATGACTAGTACAGAGTCATTAAGATGGATGTTGTTTATACACACACACCACGAGAAGAAGTGAATGTAATAATTGTTTCTTTCAAAACTAGGCATGAAACCCTACGCTGAGGCGACACAGCAGAAAGCTGACGGGCCTCCAGAGGAGAAGGGGCCAGCGCTGGAGGACAAGGCCCTTCAGGAGCTCAGGAGCCTGGGTAGGGACCTCCAGGCCATCCGCCTCCAGGTGCAGCAGCAGGAAGGAAGCCAGAGCTCGCAGGAATGGATCCAGGTGGGTTTCATCATAGACCGCCTGCTGTTCGGCCTCTACATCCTCTTCGTATCAGTCAGCTTCATTACCATCATCATAATCTGGGGGAACTCATACAGCCCATAGACAATGGCTGTCTGTTTAAAGGGGCAACATTCATGACTGAAACAGTTGTTGAGTAATAATCACTCTGATCATTTTATTGTTTTGTTTGGTAACAATATATATTTAAACATATTCCTAATCTATTGTCTTACTTTTACTCATAACCTTCATTCATATAATTGCATTCATTGTGCCATTCTAAAATCATTGGAAATCCTTGTGAAAGAAATAAAATTACTTGAAAAAAAATTCATTCAGCTTGCGATTGACATTTATTTCAAACATAATAAGCATGTTCAAATTGTTTTCCTATTTATTCATTAATTGTAATGCCAGTATTGCATCCTATATTCTATTACTATGGACATCCAATCACAAGACTTTGAACATAGCTGCAGTGATAGGTCAGGTACTGATGGCTCACAGTCATGCTGAAGGTTTTGGATGAGGTTAGGGTTAGGGTTGGAAGCTTTGCTGTCCTAAGATCACTGAATAGTATTGTATCTAATCTAGATATCCCTTACAACCAAGGGACTGAGACTAGTATGCACGGCCATCATTTCTGCAATATAGTGAATGTTGTATTCAAACTACATAAAAAACATGGTTTCACTTTTTTCACTATTTTTGTATTCTTATCTATTATTTCTTAGAAGGTAAATATATTGTATTTATCTATGTAAATATGCAGAGCTTGCTACGGTGTGAGCAGGAGGGTACAATTATTTGCCCAAACATAACCCTGGTGTGCTGTTGATCACATTTAAATGTAAATCAAACTGAAACATGTTAATTGTTTTCTCATGTTGACAACCTTGATACTCAAAATGTCCCTTTTTTATTTTTTAAAAATAGTTATTTGAATCTGGATATTTTCTGAGGGTTTCCTACTGTTGGGATTCAGAGCTTTTAGACATGCCACATTTTAAATAAATGCACGTGGCTTCTTAAAGTGCACTCACACTTACAAACACAATTATACATATTTCATTTTCACTTTTCTAGAGTCTGTTCAAGTCTGTACTTTTCACCTAAAATGTGTGTAGAAACAAAATAGCCTAAACCACCAGCACATCACTCAAACTAACAACGGCTTTTGACCCAATGTTAATGTTTTTAGCGCTGCCCGCTGAAAGTCAAGCCTTCTAAGGTTCTATTCATCTTCATCTCTGTGCTCATGCATGGTAAGTACAGCTCCTCCCCTAATAATGGGTTCATCAAGAAACTATACCATTTATTTTTATATTTGAATCATTAATACGTTTGGGAAATGCCTTTACTTGCTACTAGTACGTGCAGTTAATGTGGTTTGATAATCATAATGACAGATTTCTTTCTTTCAGTAGCTCCGTGTAGTTCCATCATGCAGAACTGCTCTCGACCCGACACACCTTCCCTGCTGGAGGCTCTCCAACCGGTCTTCAAGCTAAACGCAATTCGACCTACCATGAATATGTCAACGCCCACCAACGTCAGCATTGGCTTTGTCCTGTTTGGCATTTTGGGCTTGGTAAGGGACACTATAAACCTGGCCTCACTTCATTTTCAGAACATAATACTGTATGACAGATTGTTTGTTCTTCTTCAGGATGAAAAGGCTCAAGTTCTTAAAATGTATATCTGGCAAGATATGGTAAGTATTCTACAATAAACATCCTTATTTATCAAGCAACAGACCACTAGATACTACAGGACTTAAACTACCAAAAACAAATACTCTAACCTATTATTGTCCAATTACACCAACAAAGGATACTGCTCTTTATTAATGTTGTTTCAATGGGAGTACAAGATATTTTAAAATGTCACCAGCTGGTAACATCTTAAAAAGCTGTAATATTTCCACAGACCTAACTACAGACCTAACTAGTTAGGTCTGTAGTTAGGTCTGTATGTACCAGGTATTTAGACCTAACTAGTTAGGTCTGTAGTTAGGTCTGTATGTACCAGGTATTTAGATGTTGTATCAGCGTCAGTGGCGAGCCGTGAGCTTTATACCTACAGTAGGCCCTCTGACCCCCACCCCTTCCCTCGAAAAAAAGAAAAAAAAAGTTATTACGTCACAGCGTATACTTCAGCGGAATATCAAAACAACGGCCCAGGGTGCAAAACGCATCAATGACAGCGACCCTCTACCACACAAAACAACACCTGTGAACCCAATTTGTGTTCTTTGACATTGAACATGATATTGCATTGTGTTTGTTACTTTCGTTACAGTTGTATGTCTTAAGTGTAATTTGGCATGCTTTTATTTTGAAGGCGAGTTCACGCTGTTGACAGGAAGTTGGTGTTGCTATGGAAACAAGAAAAGTTTCACAGCGGGCGGAACTTGTCATCTAGTCCGCGATAATAAAACCCGCCCATTTAGAGGGAAGATATGATTGGTCAATTGTACTGTCATTTGACATTACTCTCTCGTTCAGTTACTATAGCGGGCCCTCTGTGAATCGCAGAGAGGGCCAGACCAGCATCTTTCATGTAACCCTTCACATTCAACAGAGACTGAACAGGCAGATTCGAAGGATTTATTTATTTGGAAATGTTATTTTATTAAATCAAGTTTTTTTTCGGTAAAACTAATGAAAGATATAACAAAAATAATATTAAAAAAATATATATTTTAAAAAAATATTTTTTTTTTTAATGTTTTTAAATATTATTTTTTGGAATATCTTAGGCCCTCACAGAGGGCCTAGAGGGCCCTGACGGCTCGCCACTGATCAACGTGATTTGTGTTGCAGAGATGGAGAAATGAATTTGTCGAGTGGGACCCAGAACAGTGTGGTTCTTCAGTGATTACAATTCCAAGGAAACTGCTCTGGGTACCAGACGTGGTCATCAATGAATTGTACTGTAAGAGCAGCATTAGCTGTGGATTGACTAATTCACTAAAAGCTGTATTTATGTTTTTTGTTTTTGTTTGGAGTATATGCATATACATATAATGACAAAAGCATTTTGTATTTGTACACAGAAGGTAGATATTACCGTTGATATTTACTGGCTTTTGTCTTTTCCTGTCTTGCAGTATGGAGAAGAATTCAGCTCCATTCGTGCCCTACAGTTATCTGTATTCGAATGGCTTCGTGCTGGATTCACATCCGATCAGAGTGATCAGCTCCTGCAGACTCGACATCTACACGTTTCCATTTGACGTCCAGAACTGCAGTTTAAGCTTCAACTCTTATTTACACCGTAGTAAGTAGAAGATATTTAGTTATTATTGACATCATATACAGTATGTATAAGGTCTCACAAAAGCATTGACTAAATCATTTTTTCCGCTCAGAGGCTGTTCTGCAGATGAACATCTTTACCTCTGTAGAGGATATTTTAAACCAATCAAAAAAAGTGATGACAACCATGGGTGAGTGGGAACTCATTGGTCTCACAGTGCAGAGGATCACTCTACCAGCTGGGGATGACGAATTGTACCAAGAGATTCGCTTCTTTGTAAGAACATACTGTTAACTTTTCACCTTATTGTAATGCTTTATCTTATTTACACAAGATGAAAGCTAAGAGTAAGATGTAAGAGTTGAAAAGTCTATAGAGACTCTTTTAGTCACCAAATACCTTATGATATATACAAATAATGTTAAGCTTAAGGGTAAAAACGAAATGAATGACATGAATGCAGCACAGCATATAGATGTATGCATGTACCATTATCATACACAGTAATATGAACATATGCAGTAGTCAGTCTGTTAAACCAAACCATTATACTGTATCCAAATGCTACAAATGTGAGTTTTATCCTATTTTTATGCTGTTAAAATGTAGAACACTTTAACTGAGATTTAATGTCATATAATTGAATTTAGCAGTTGATTACAGCTGTACTGTTATATAACTTGAGAAATGTGGTATACACTGCTACAGGTGACAGTGAGGCGCCGGGCCACCCTCTATGTGGTGAACCTGCTGATCCCCAGCTGCTTCCTCATCACAGTGGACCTCTTCAGCTTCCTGCTGCCCCCCCAGACTGTAGACCGTTCCTTGTTCAAGATGACCCTCATCCTGGGATACACTGTCTTCCTGCTCATCATGAACGACCTGCTGCCCACCACTGGAAACACTATTCCTCTCATAAGTCAGTTGTCAATATGTTCTACTTGTGCAAGAACACACAATTCAAAAACTAGTTAATTATTATTATGGTAACTGAGTAAAGGTAATGCTCCCCAGTCCATGTTGAGGTGTTTGCAAGTAGGATCTTTTGGTTCTTTGTTTGTTCTTTTTATTTTCGTCATTATCATATTTTACTGTAAAAGATCTGAAAACCAACTGTACACTAGCACCAAAAAGCTTCAGCTAGCAACTGGTTGGTGAACATTGTGGAGCAAGTAGAAGCCAGAACCAAATTGTTCCATTGTGTGTAAGTGGAGATCAAATGAGTAAAAAGCAACTGTTCACTGTCACATTTGTACGTTTTAGAGAAATAAAAGGTGATTAAACGTCATGTCAATGGCCTTAATCTTGCATTTTCCTGCCTGGACTTAACTTGGATTTTATTATAAATATCCCAGATGTGTTCCTGGGGCTGTGTCTGGCTCTTATGATGAGTAGTCTAATGGAGACTATCATCATCACCAACCTGCTGTGTGGCTCCGCTCACTACTCTCCGGTCCCTCGCTGGCTCCGATTCTTGGTTCTTCAAATCCTGGGTCGCCTGGTTAGGCTTCCTCCAAAGCCCAGAGATGTAGAGGACACAGTCATCCAGAATCCTGCCACACAAGGTAGAATTTAAAAGGTGTAAGGTGAAACATTTCTTGAAGTCAGCATGCAGAAAAACACATATAAATAATCACAGTTTCCATCACCTCATCTCCTCTGCAACAGAAATGAAAGTCTTCTCTGTGGTGGCAGCGGACAGCGAGGCTCCAAAACAGAAGGGACAGCTGAATAATGACAAGGCCCTTCAGGAGCTGAGGAGCCTGGGTAAGGACCTCCAGGCCATCCGCCTCCAGGTGCAGCAGCAGCAGGGTGGAAGCCAGAGCTCGCAGGAGTGGATCCAGGTGGGATCCATCATAGACCGCCTGCTGTTCGGCTTCTACATCCTCTTCATATCAGTCAGCTTCGTTACCATGATCATAATCTGGGTGAAATCATGAAACATATTCTGAGTTCGCTTTTTTCATATTTTGGGGGATTCTGAACTATTATTTGTTGGTCGATAAAAAACATGATTTCTGTTATTCCTTGTCAGTTTGTACTTCGAAGAGAATTTGAAAGAAGCTTTTTACATTTTGTCCCCCTTTTAAAATACATTTTAATGTTTTGTCATGTATTTTCTTTTGTTGAAAATGGTCTTCCCTTTGAAACAAATATCCGAAACTCCTGTTGACTCTTCTCTTTCAACAATGATTTGCATACACGTACAAACTATTGGACTTACAGTAAAGACTCTAACCTCAAGGTATCTTCCAAACTTAACATGTGTCTCAAAGGTTCTTGGCTTCATTGAAAACATACATCTCAACAGTAATAAAGGAGCGGCCATGGTCTTTCACCTTGTGTGTGTGTTTTTTTGTTTGCATCTTATATTCAGATAAATGACTGAATATGAGTGATGAGCTAGAGTTTCAAAACAGATGATTGGAATATATCCACACAATCTCACCAATTTCATACATGCCACAACACATACCTGATTAACATGGTAATGCAATGTAAAGAAAACAAGCATGTTATACTTTCATAAGGAAAAACTGTGAGTTGAGTTAAGCCAATCAGAAGAAAGGTACACAATTTGTTTATACCGTTGACATTTGGCTTTGAGTTGATGGGACAACGACGTGATGGCAGACATAAAGATGTTTATTTTCATCTGTTTTTCACTACTTCACGGTAAGAAAGAAAGTATAGGATCTTATAATAGTCTGTAGCCTACTTAATCAGTCAAATAAAAAAGAAAGAGGATCTGTTAAAAGCTTGATTTAACTTCCATTGATAACAAACTTTAAAGTTCAAGATGTTGGGAAGAAAATACAAGAGAAAACAAAATAAAATGGATCAATATTAAGTGTGTAGATGTCATAAAGCATTTTGTTGAATAATTCATGAATAGTTTCTACCCTAATCCTGTAGTAGAGCTACGAAGGCGGACTAACCTTTGAGAGAACACATATGAAATATATTTATATATGATATATATTTATTTGGACTGTCTTGTGAATTTAGATTCCTTCTTTCTCTTTTTGAACTCAGGTTTGGTTAAAGAGCCGAAGAATGATAACACGTCCACGTCGGTAGAGTGGCTACTCGCATCATGGTTTGGTTTCGTCAATTTCCATACCCTTCAAAATCACGTCGAATGAAGTACAAACAACTCAGCTGTATGTTCTAGGGCGGTCCTCTAGGTATCTCCGTAGTCCCTGAAAATAAATGTGTTCCTCCACTCAACTTTCTAGAAAAGTATAAAACCTTAATTAAGCACCTGGTAGCCTACGACTTGAGACTGGAACAGATTTCAACTCCCATAGGTGGAGGTGTTGAAAAATAAAATGGTTCAATGCTCACTGGAGGTGTGGAACAACAAGTCTTATGTTATTCAGAGTGTTTATGATCCATCTGCACATACTGTAACTCAATGTTATTTTCTAATAAGGTTGGTCCATTAAGACTGACTGTCCTCAGAAGGATAGCGAAATCAGTATGTGCTTGAGTCTGCAATATATGATATACTTCTAATAAGTTAGTAAAAGAAAATATGTCCACAATCTCCACAACACAAAAGTTATATTTTGTTTGGTATATATTTGATATTGTACTTCTGTTTGTATTACTCATGTTATGGGGACAAAACTGATGACATTACGAGAACTCAGTAAGCATTTGGGTACAAAAGGGTTGTCCAAAAGTTAAGGGCCTAACTTAGTAAGGCATGTAGTGGGTGTCGTTAACATTAGGGTTAGTCTCAAGGGAATTATTGTTAGTCATTTCAATGTCTTGTTAGGTGCCAAAAAACAAGTGTGTGTGCATTTGAACAGCCTATAGGAGCTCTTAGCTTACTCCTGGTCAGATTGTTGGTTGTGGAGGATATTTAGTTCATCAAAAACGTTGAGCATGAATCCATCTCTGAAGAGAATCAGCATCATCTCAGCTTTACTCTTAATTGCAGGTAATGATGACCTATTTCTATTTACTACTTTATTGTTCATGATTACATATTACGTTTTTTCAGAGTGACGCATGTTTAGCTCTGCAACAGAAAACATTCTTTCTAGTTCATCCTGCATGTTTCAAGTCTAAATGATCCTGCAATGCAATGATATAGATGTCATCTTTTATGTTTTGCCCAAGTAAATTATAATTGCTTGGATATGAGAATGTACAAATGGAGAAAAACACGTATCTATCATTCATCTATCCACTTTATTTACCATTTGTAATCATCAGTAATATATTCATTACAAAAAATTGTTTTGAGTCATTAAGCTATATTATACACATTTTAATATAAGAATGTCATTGTGATGTATTTTGTCCTATAGTTTTACTCAAAGTAATATTATAATATTGATACGAATATACAATTATATTCAAACAAAGCTATTTTTTTCAAGTCTAAAATGTTATTTTCATCTTATCTTATTTATGTTTGCAATAATATTATGTTGAGTAAACTATTTTTATAAACGGCCTCTCTCTGGTTAGTGTCTCTATGTTGTGGTAAACTGACCTGCAAAGAGGGACACAGCGGTCCGACCCATGAGTCCATGCAGGCTGTGTTTGACCTGAAGTCCTTCAGGCCAGCAGTGAACCTCAGCAACCCCACCATAAGTAACATCTCCTTCACCCTGTATGCTGTGCTGGGGGTGGTGAGTTTGTCAGTGAGCGGATCAGAGAAATCCATCCATCCAATCTAAATCCAGATTAAAGAAGCTCTTCATTATTGTAGAGAGAGGGAACTTAATCTAAGAAGATTGCTGTAATAATATTGTCTATATTTTTGCAAAGATCTATCTCTGCAATTGATAATACATTTTGATAATATCAAAATCATGTGAATTGCTGTAAATAATTGCATTAGGACTTCACATTAACCAATGATTAATACATTTCAGAATGAGAAAACCCAAATACTCACTACCTTCTTGTGGCTGAGACAGGTATGTAGCATGGAAAGACATAATACACTGTCAAAAATGAAATGTAATCTGATGTATCATGTGCCTGTAACAACAGAAGGATCACATACAGACATTATGACATTTCAAGGCAAAAAAAACTTTTCTGATTCATTTTATTTCGCTGCAGTACTGGAGACATGAGTTTCTGGTTTGGGACCCTGATGAGTGTGACGGCATCACCAGGATTTCTCTCCCCGCAGCGCAGCTCTGGTCTCCAGACATCATCGTTTATGAGTTGTAAGTTAACCAGCTGTACATAGTTTTTTATGTATGGTTCCTTCAGGGTTTTGTCACAAACTGTATGGCTCATAATGAACTTCAAAATGTCTGAACTACATCCTGGGATACGATAATGAAGTTGCACTACAAAGAAAAAATTATGATAAAAATATTATTAGGTTGCTTTTTGCGGCAAACAATATCTGCAATTTTTTTATTAAGGGCGGTGTTAAAAAAGCCGAAATAAACTAGGAGGTTATACTGCTTATAGTTGTGGGTACAAGGCCAAGGAAACGTCATTTTGACACAGTCTGTACAGTTAGCATGTATAGTGTTTGCTTTTTGTGTTGTGCACTTGGAACAGACTGGAGATCAGTTTCCAATGGAAAAAGTCAGAACTGTAAATATTATTGTAATTATAGCCCACTATTCAGCTGCAACCAAGAGACAGATCTTGACGGGAAAATATCCCGCTTCCTGCCTGGACCAGAGTTTCTTGCACATCTTGAAGCTGCCAAAGACCTTCAGGTCCCATCTGAAATAGGGCCAGAAACAAGCCTGCTCACTGACAATCAGGTGATACTAAAATGAAAACTGCTCTGTCGTGATCTTGTGCACCAACTGCATCATTGCTCCCTTGTGTGGCAGCACGTACATCAGGCTCATCCCAAAGGCTACACTGGGTGGGAAAATGCCCACGGGGGGAAGTATTGCTCATCTTTAATAAGATACCATAGTTATCTGAGACATTTTCCATAAATGCAAATAGGTCTACTATTGGTCAAAAGTTTGCCACAGGTTGGGGTCCTCCTCTGTGTTGAAAAAACATACCACCTTGTGACGGTTCAGGGTATACTGTAGATATGCAGGACCGACCATATTGTTCACAGTTTTTTCAGAACTAGAAAGTAGGGGGAAGGAGGTGCATTAGTTGATCCTGTTCAGGCAAGTGTGGGATATGGCCATCTCATTTTGTTGTTAGTGTGATTATTTATCTGTTGAAAACATATCTGACAAGACAGCTTGCAAAGCTGACAGAGCAAAGAAGTGGAATGAACTGTGAAAGTGTTTTGTTTGTGATTTTGTTTCCTTAAGAAATTATACCTTTGTCCTTTTACTTCAACCTGTGTCTTTTATCCCTTCCAGTGTGGATGACGATGTTTCCCAAGCGTGTCCTTACGTCTACGTCAACCACACCGGTCACATCCGCTGGGACAGGATGCTTCGGCTCGTCTCATCCTGCAACCTGCAGATCTTCAGTTTTCCTTTTGATGTGCAGAATTGCTCATTTACATTTGGCTCCTACATGCACACTAGTAAGACAAAATGTTCTAAAATGTACACAATCACAAACTCATCTGGTCTTTTTGTTAATTTAATATATTTTTTCCAAAAAGTGTGAATCACGGCAACCACGAGGCGTCATTGAACATACAGTCCTAAATGAGCACATACAATATTAGGCACATAGGTCAAGTAGTTTGCAAGAGTAACTTATAAATGATTTATATAGATTAACTTGGATTGTGCTATATTTGACTAGTTTTCCCTCTCTCATTGTTTACTTTCTTTCACAGTAAGGGATGTGAGGTTGGCTCCAGCTTTGACCTTTGAGGAAATGTCTGGAAATTCAAAGCGCTACCTGGAAGCCAGCGGAGAGTGGGAGCTAGTAGACATCCTGGGAGAGACATCCATCCTCAAGTTTGGGATCGACCAGTGGGACATCATCACCATCTGGGTGAGTGCAGTCATAAAGAGTGGAACACAATGATAGTAAGGTTGTACAGGATTAAAGCAGCACAAGAGGCGATCAGGAGGTACAAATATGTAGATAAAAAATAACCCCAAACCTCCAAACACCAAGCAACAAACACTACACATGCTCAATGTCAGTAGAGAAGGACAATGAGAGAATATATACGTATAAGTCAATGCTGTGTTTACAACTTGATTGGGCTGCCCCTGAGTGGCCAAATCCGTTATTGCTGGTTGTAATTAATGTAATTAAAAAAGCAAAAATAAAACTGTTACTCAAGAATAACGACTTTTTGCACACATATTGTCATTATAACATGTTCCTTCTGAATGCATATTTTCCTAAGATAAGTCAGTTTCATTATATGTTATGACAGATAACGTACCATGTTTTGGAAAAAAATGTTGTTGATGTCCAACACATGTAAAGGTGATTCTTTAAACTGCGCCTTGTTTACTAGGTGGTCATAAAGCGGCGGCCGGTCCTCTACGTGGTCAACCTGCTGATCCCCAGCTCCTTCCTCATGCTCATCGACATCATGTCCTTCTACCTGCCCCCGCACAGTGTGGATCGCGCCTCCTTCAAGATGACCCTCATCCTGGGCTACACCGTCTTCCTGCTCATCATGAACGACCTGCTGCCCAGCACAGCCAACGGCACGCCCATCATAGGTCAGAGGTCGTGACGTAACCTGAGCATTATCATAGCCTGGGTTATAGGTTTACCATCACCAACTAATGAAGTAGCTGATTCCAACCAACCACAACCTATCTATTTTCTTAAATGGTTTCAATAAGTTTATGTAATTTGCCCCTAAGTGGCAAAAGTCAATCAATGCAGTTTTGAGTTTCCCCCCCTTGCTTTTTTCAAAACTACACAGCTGTCTTGTTGAGTGTTTATCAGATAATCAACACAGAGCTATAAACTGAAAGGAATTGAAATGTAAGTATTGGATCTAGCAGAGTTTCTGAGTTTTAACATATTTTAATATTTTATCATAACAGCCATTACATATTTTATGAAATGTAATATAATTGTATATTTTTTACATTTCTTAAATTCTGCTTTCGAGATGATGTTGGGAGTTAAAAGCATACAGTGTAATGGGGTTGATTGAAGCTTTTTCAGTGGCCAATGGCTGTATTAAGATAGCATCAACGGGTCCCTTGCCTAATATAAGAGGGATACTATCTCAAATAAATCACTGTACAAAGTAACTGTACTGATAGACAGATATATTTTCGCTGCCTTCTGCTACTGAGGAAATACATTTCGTATATGTGACATATTTAATATGCATCCTTTGATCTCTCAATCTCTCCTTTAATCTAGGTATCTATTTCTCGGTGTGTCTGGCCCTCATGGTCATCAGTCTACTGGAGACGGTCATCATTACCAATGTCCTCCACCACAGCTCCATGAAATCTAAAGAAGTCCCAAACTGGGTGAGAGTGGTTGTCCTCAAACACATAGCCAACCTCATCTGCTACAAATGGCCAAAGGACGTCCAGCCACCCTCTGAACCACAGGAAGACAAACCTCAAAGTTCAAATAGCAACTCGGAGTCATGGAACATCCAACCAGCCATCCAGACACCTGCCACGCACCCAAACACCAACGAAGGTAATCAAACTCTGTCCATTACAAATACTACTTCGCTGTTACTATTGCCAACTGGCCTGACCAATAAGAAATACAAGCTGTAATCTATGAAAAACAATTAATCGATTTATGTCAGGCAACGAAATATAAATATAATTACACAATTTAGCTTCTTCTGTGATTTAATTAGTCTCTTACATGTATGGCATTTTTGTTTGCTTTATGTTATTTGGTTAGCAAGTCAAATGTAATTTTATTCTCAACATAAGTTGTCTTTTGGGGGGTATTTTAAGTTGTAAGTTTGATATGGTAAGCAGCCTTTAATTCACCATTAGGTCAGATATGCTGATATTTCCTATTGTTCTAATTTAGTCATGCATGTGCAAGGTAATGCTAAAGTTGTCAGTTTTAACAGTTACCGCTGGCATTCACTGGATGTAGACCCAGATTCCTCCTATCACTGCTCTTCTGCCAGGTGCTGCTTCTATGCCTGAACTGAAACAGATCTGTCAATATCTGGGAGACCTTCGTGCCCATCTCATCTCGCTGCAGAAGGAGAACGAGCTGACGAACCAGTGGTGCCAAGTAGGATACGTCCTTGACTTTTTGCTCTTCCGCGTCTATCTGCTGCTCATTTCATGTTATGCGATGGTCATCATCTGCATGTGGTGTGTCTGGATCAGCCAGACCTAAGTGATCTATTCAGGGACGGTTCATAGTATGTCTAAGTACTGTAATCATTTTAAAAGCAATCTGTGTAACTAGATTTCAGAACATTAGCCGCGTTCACACCAAGTACTTTGCCGTACTTAGTGCCCCGGCACTTATTACCCCGGCACTTATTACCCCAGGGCACTTAGTACAGATCGCGTTCACACCGGAATAAGTTCCCTGAGGGAAGATTACGCAAATGAGCCGCTGACGTCACTTCGTCTTCTTCTGCTTTGGATTTACTGGCAGGCCGCAAACCACTTCATGGTGTATACTGCCACCCGAAGTCCCCGGCCAGAAGTCCCCGGAGTTGGAGACTGGCTTCAGTAGAAGCTGCTGGGACTCCCAGCAGCTTCTACTGAAGCCTTCCGAGTAAATCGCCAGAACGCCGACACCTCCTCATCTCCACCGCTCCCATGTTTTATTTTGTGTTGCCATAAGTTAGTCTCTCTGCGTTTGTGCGCTGGGCTAATGCTAATAATGCTAATGCGAGGATAATAAAATGGCGGCTCTACAAAACATTTCAGAGTTTTACGGGGCGTGGTTTGCAATTCGCCCAGCCAATCAGAACTGGGGCACTTTTTTCCCCCAGGAAAGTACCACCTCTCAGCAGGCACTAAAAATGGGGGTAAAAGTTCCCGGCACTCAGTACTCTTTTTGGTGTGAACGCGACATAAGGGGTACTAACGGAACTAAACGCGAAAAGTACGGGGAAAAGTACTCCGGTGTGAACGTGGCTAATATGTGATGTTTGTGTTTCACTTTGTGTCCTGAAGTTATTTTGAAAAAACTAAATAATAACTACTTTGATCTTGAACATAAGTTGTTCATAAATCTAATCGGAGTCCCACAGGGTACAATTATCAGACCTCTAATATTCAACTTTTATGCTAAGCGAAACTATGAAAGAGTGCATTTTTGTTATATACGATAATATGACAACAATAAAAGGCTGCAAATAAATCAGTAGCCCCAGTCTCTTTTCTTCCTTTTATCTTTGACAGGCAACAATGATCTCATGGGATCAAACAGACTGCTTATAATGAGTTGACATTTTGACTTTTGATTTTTGTTTCCATATAAAGATAAGTTGTCCTCAATAAATCTTATTTTGTATCTTTACACAGAACAGCTATGTAGTTGGTGGAAGAAATAGAATCATGACTAATTTACTTATTTCAGGAGACATCTTTCTCTAAATACCTAAATGATTTTCAACAATACATGCTTAAACATAATGTCCTCTCAATTTTTTTATCTAGTTTTATGTGAATGTATGGGTTTAAACCATGGTAACTGTACACTGCCTAACAACGCGTTATTGTTATTAAAAATGACTTCAGTTGCTTATATTTGGTTGTCACTAACCAAATCTACCACAGAAAACACCTACCAGGAATAAATGAAATGGAGTAGTAATTATTTGGTCATTCAGTCTGAGCATAGGGCTTTCCTCTAAAACGTATGGACCCAAACTTGTTAGCAGGGGAAATAATAGCACTTTAAGACAAGTTATTTCCTAAATGCTTTAGCACCATTTGATTAATGAGGATTCAATGTAATTTGGGTGTTTTGAGTCCTGCTAGCATCATGGCTCTGGAGATGGCAATGTCAGTCTGCAAGCCTAATTGCATTCCCATGACCCTCAGCTTTCTCTGAGTCTTGAGCAAATGATGTCCATGGTTACATACTAAACCATTCAATAACTAATAAAAGCATAGTTGTGTATACAGTGCTGTTTTTTTTGCCTTGGCTTCAGTTGAAAGGAAAACATATTGACATCTAATTCAAGTTCACAAGAAGATGATTTAAAAACCTGTTGTACAATCCAAACATTCATTATGCAAAAGCATCAGACAAATGGCTCCCTGAAACAACTAGGAATACACTATAGGGCTTAGCATACGGAAGGTATACAGTCAATATTTGCCTCTGGAGGAGGAGACACACTTAATGGAATTACTCCTAAAATCATATTGATCCACCAAAAAGTCTTCATTTGAAGGAGCACACTGATGACTTTTGTTTTGTAATACGAGGCATTTGTCAAGATAACGGCTTAACCTTGACGGAAAATGACAGAAGTGAATTCTGCTGAGCTCATCTTTATCTGTTTCATGCTGCTTCACGGTAAGACACATTGACTAACAAAATTGGCAAAGAAAACAATCTGTTCAATTTAAAAGGTGCACTTCAGTTACATCTGGTCCCCATGGTACATTGGGAACTTTTTTTAAATACATAACATGATAAGGATTCATTTAAAAATGTACTGTTATGTTTGTTGTCAGTAAATACTTAATTAGATACTAAAGTTAAATTCAATAAATGTATTGTCTTCTAAATAATATAAATGTTGTTGTGAATTTCAAAATAAATATCAGATTAATCATGTCACATGTTAATTATCTTGTTATACTCCATTTTAAGAAGGGGTGAGGACGTTTATATTGAAGCCCTGTTTCAGGACGCAGCACCCATCAGTGCACCCACTTTGGGATTTGGACATTAATATTGCAAAAACAGCCCTTTTGTTTTTCCAATAATAAAATAGCCTGAACACAATCCACTTGGTATACCTTTACCGTATACAGCAAACAAAGAAAGATCTGCTATGCTATGATGTCCAAACCATTACAAAAAAACTGGGACTGTGCCTGTATTTGAGCTTTATCACAAATTGTGCTTTCTGTTTAAACTCAGGTTTTGCAGCAGCATTGAACTGCACCAGCCCTACACCTGAATCCTTGTTTGGTGAACTTGAGAAGGATCTATTCCCTAAAAAACTACTGCGACCTGTTAATAGTTTTTCAAGTCCACTTAACATAACCATTAGTATCACTGTGGTGGGAATAGTAGGAGTGGTAAGTCTTTTCATGCCTTTGCTGAAAAACGTTTTCAATTTTCAACGTTTTCTTATAAGTCATCAACGGCTAATTGACTTAAAACCTTTTCTCACCTGCAGGAGGAAAAATCCCAATCACTGACAACACTCATATGGCAAGTTCTGGTAAGTTCTTAGAGAACTGGACTAAGTATTGGACTATTTCAATCACTACATTGATTTTGTATGCTATTGTTGCAATTATTTTAATTATTATGATTGCATTACCGCACATTTGGAGGTGTATCTTTTTGAATACCACTGAGGGGTAAAAGTCTGGTGTTGGATTTCTCTAAACACTCAAAATAATATGTGAATGGCTTATCATGTAACTGTAATACACTTTATGCCTAATAGTTTAAAATTACATAACTGGAATAAACTTCAGTTAAAGTTGACTTGATATGTCAAAAGTCTTGATTTATTTGTATTTTACTTAAATAATGACATAATGGTCTTTTGGATCGAACGTTGTTGTAGTGAATTTAGGTAGTGACATATAAATATAACAAAGTCATTTTTCAAGCTGTACCTCAATTGGACGTTGATCTGTTTTATGCAGGAGTGGAATATAGAGGGACTGAGCTGGGATGACAAGGAATGTGGAACCTCAAGAGTCTCTGTCCCACGAGAGAAGCTTTGGATCCCAGACATCCACATTGCAGAGTTGTAAGCTAAGAAGACAGTTTTCCAACAAAAACATTTTTTAAAGTTCTCAGAGTACAACATTAAATACAAATGTAAATAAACAATGACAAGAGTGGGCTGTGGGAGAGGGATATTAACCCTATTTTACTTGTATTCCTCTCTCCTCATAAAATGTATTAAGTTTATTTCCTAATATATAAAATGTTTTTTTATATTCTTTTACAGCATGACTGAGGACAAATCTCACAAAACTCCCTATGTCTACATTAACAACACAGGTCATGTATTTGATGATAAACCGATCGCAGTGATCAGCTCCTGCATATTGAATATCTACAGTTTCCCCTTTGATATCCAAAACTGCTCACTGACCTTTGGATCCTATCTACACTTTAGTAAGCCTGCTTAAACATTAAACACAGTTGTTCAAAACAATTTTTTTTAAAACTGCATTACTTTTTTCAAACATCGCTAAAGCATAACATACAAAATGTATAAGCAGTCACTGCGGTTGTTTACTGTAGGTTAACTTATTTTTACCTTAATGTTTTGATAAAGAAATGTGTGTGACACAAGGTTACACAAAATATCAGATTTGTTGTTGACACAATCAAAAATGATACAATTGAAACTGTGTAAAGTCCTTTTAAAGGGTCCAAATATCTCAATGTGTGTGGAGAGATAAAAACTACTAAAAACTAAAACTTTGCCTTTAATGTTATTCAAGATACAGACATCAGGATGGTTCAAGGCTCTTCATCTGAAGAGATCCTGAAGGAGTCCCTAGAGGTTTCGAAGACCAACGGGGAGTGGGCGCTCATAGGGGTCCATGTAAATCCTGACGCCCAACTGGTGTTAAGTGAGGGAAGCTACTCAGAGATCAAATACTATGTAAGCACTTTTAACTACTTACATTTGTCATGGTCACTCATTTTTGATTAGATATAGCTGCACACAATTCCATACTACATGCTTATTTGATACACTATAGACAAGTCATAGTATACTGTGAATTTTTTTGTATTGACACCATGTGAAAAGAAACCCAAAGTGAATTGATGAGCTCAGCAAAAACGTAATATCAATCACAAAAGACTAGCAAAAATGTTGAGGTGTTGTACCTGTGTCCGTTCCCAAGATCATTTTGAGACGTCGGCCAACCCTCTATGTGGTGAACCTGCTGATCCCCAGCTGCTTCCTCATCACAGTGGACCTCTTCAGCTTCATGCTGCCCCCCCACAGTGTGGACAGATCCTCCTTCAAGATGACCCTCATCCTGGGATACACCGTCTTCCTGCTCATCATGAATGACCTGCTGCCAACCACTGGGGAGATTACACCTCTCATCAGTGAGTCACACCTGCTGTGAAATGTTTACTCATTTTATTCCAAAGAAGTTTGAAGGAATATCAACAATTCAAAGCTGTACAGTATGTGTTTTTAAGTGAGTCATTCCTAGCATTGGGTGTCATCTCAGCCAGGTTAGTATATTTAAAAAAAAGTCAGGATTTTTTTATTTAATCTTAATGCTTGTTAAAGTATTAGATGCATATTTTGGTCCAGCTCATGACATTCTGGTCAAATAATTACTGTTTCTTTGAAATATAGTGACAGGGAGGACATTTTCTGCAAAACTTGGCTACTGCTACTTGTTTGATGATAATCAAGCTAGCACTTGGTGACAACATAAAAATATATTTGAATAATTTATTAACCATATCTTCAAAAAAATACCAAAAGACACACACACACACACACACACACACACACACACACACACACACACACACACACACACACACACACACACACACACACACACCATATGCAGAAGGCAACTTACAACTCTATACAATACAAATGATTTATTATAACATTTCTGGATATAGAACAATTAGCGTCGAATTTCGTAGGTAGGCTACTCCAGTCTTAGCTTAGTCAAATCTGAACACACACGATACTTGTATTATCTTGGGTTCATCGTGCATTACCCTTACCCGGTGTATCTTTATCCCCGATGTCCATCTCGATTAAACGTCTAAACATCCGCTTAGAAATCGTAGAAAAAAGTCCCTCCTCATAATTGTGGAACTTGCCTAAGAATCGCTGTTTTTAAGCTTTTTTCAGTATCAAAATAAAGCAGTGATAGTTGTTTCTATATCCATAGGTGCATTGCAAAATTATATCAATATTCATATTAATAACTAATTCGGCATACAAACCAATATATGCTAAATAAATAAAGGGTTCAAGCTGTAGCCCACAGCATATTCATGGGGTGGCAAGAGGGTGGCAGGAGATTTTGAGGGGTGGCATCCCCTGGCAGAAGTATATGCTGATTTAATCGCAGTCATATCAATTAATGTTAACTCGGAAAGCCACAATATTGATATTTTAACTAAATAACATTAGGTGACATTATTGTGGCACAACAGTAAATCCTTAAATATAAATATATAAGGTGGCAGACATAATTTAATGAATTTTAAATGAACAATAACTGAATGAGTTTGTTTCCCTCTTAGACCAGCAGGGGTACCAAATATATGCAGACTGCTGCAATAAGTACATTAATTAACTGTCTCATCGAATCGATGTTTGTCTGAATTAATATGATAATATTAACAATCATATCATTCCTATCAGCTGTCAATCACTGTTATGATTCACATATTCAGTGTTATTATTAAATAAACTATATTTTTTGGAGGAGTTAATAATGAATGTTCCTCAAGATGCTTGCTCACCCTGTTTCAAATTGAAAGACAAGTAATTACAATCATATATCAAAATTCAAAAGAATCAAAAGAACAGTTCAGCGTCCCACAACTTTATTGCAAACAGTTACAACCTTGACTTTAGATCAGAAAGAACAAACATTAAAGAAGTGACTAACTGCATCAGTTAGGGTTAAAAAACGTGTATTCAGCTAAAACATATACATCACTGCAGTTATTATCCAGTGGAAAGCCCTTACCTACTGGCCTAGTTAAATCAAAGTGGTTACTTTTTTTTGGCTGGGCAGTGTAGTTTTACACACCGTCTTATTTGACTTTCTTAGGACTTAAAGGTCCCATGTCATGGCCATTTCTACTGATCATATTTCCATTGTTGAGGTCTACTAGAACAGATTTAAATTGTGCAATTTTCCAAAATCACATTGGTTTCTCATACAGCATCTCTGTATAGTATGTGTATTCACCAGGTATTCACTCTCTGTCCTAAACGGCTTGTTGGAGCTCCTGCCCCCCCCCCCCTCCCTGTGAGCCCAGTGTGCTTTGATTGGTCGGGACGTTGCGAGGAGCGGACAGGTTTCCGGGTCGGCGATACAGCGAGACACAGCAAAACTCATCCTGAGCACACATAAACACTCACAGCCGAAGTAAAAACAATAAGTGTGGCTTGATATTGAGCAGTAGCGTGGCGTGGGGAAAAATTTAGGGGAAGCCCATTTTTTTGGGTTGGGGGGGGGGGTGGTCAATAACGTAACCAGATGAGTGATTACAGCGCCCGGTATCATTTTACACACATTTGTATCACACAGATGCAGGACTTGCACACTTGCACTTGCCTGTTATCTAACCGACAGGTCCGCACGCACTCTCCAGCCGAAACTCTCTCTTCTTATTAATTTAAGCATTTTCTTATTAATTTAGTTACAGTAGGCTACTACAGTACGTAGTAAAACTGATGTTGATGTGATTTGATTGGATGGCAGTGTCCAATCAAATCGCCAGCCGCCAGCCGCCTCTGAAGGGAAGCCAGGGGCGGCTGGCTTCCCTTGGCATGGCCCTGACCAATCACAGGTTGGCAGGGGCATCACGTGGGCCTCATCTGATTGGTCAATCCCTCAATTTTTTTTCACCAAGGGAAGCCCGATTCGGCTGGCCTCCTCTCGCAACAGTGAATGCAATCTACTGTTTCACCATAACATCTAGAGGGGCACTGTTTGTTTCACTCTTTGTAAAATACTCAATGAGAGTTGGGGAGAGACGGGGCCGGCAGCAACACACAGCAAAGGAGAATTATCGAAACAAAACAAAGTGTTTTTATTTATTTATTTAAATTATAACTACAATCCGAAAAAACAGGGGAAGCCTGGCTTCCCTTGGCCTCCGGGAGAAAACGCCACTGATATTGAGTAAGAAAAAGGTTTATAACGCTGTGAGAATGGGTCTGCGGAGAGCATTTCTCCGCGATCCCAACTCGTCTATTACCAGCGTTCAGGGAGCTCTATAGAGTGGCGAAGTCACGCCCATCTACTTCCGCCCCATGGGACCTTATTTCGGAAAAATAATGTATTGAAGTCAATGGAGAGAGAAAACGTATCTTTCGATCCCGTTTGAATTGTGCCATGAATTACACATATGATGTTTGTCAATCTTAAAAAATAATTTCCATGTCAAAAAAGTCACAGTTTGTCGTAAAACTGTTGAAATATAAGACTAGGAAAAATACGTAACTAGAAAGACTACAAATCCCAGAGTCGCGTAAGTGATGTCACAATTGTTTTCCTCCACTAAGAGATAGCTAAGATCAGCGCCATATAGATATAATCTATCTATATGGCGCTGGCTAAGATAAGATAACTTTAACAAGATGCCTGTGTGCTTAGTACCAGGTTGTTATTATACCAGCAATGGGTCTTGCTCGTTCTTTCGCTTCCCATCTGATGAAAGGACCAGAGTGTCTGGATCAAGCTAGCTAGTAGCTAGCACGTTAGTTAGCATTACAGCCTTGTCATTTTTATTAGCCTTAACATGAAGTAACATTAAGTAACCCAAAATGTTAAACAGTAAGAATAGTAGTCATATTTCGTGAACCCTTTGAAGAGTACTGTCACCGGTGTGATCATTCTATAATACACCATTTAAGCCCGGGGGAGAAATGCTAACGCTAACGCTAGCGATCTTCTCTACTTCATGCTATCTGCACAAATGGTTGACATTATACATTAAAACGACCAGGCAGTTCAGAGAGAATCAAAGGAAGGCAGGCAGGCAGCTTTGCATGACTTTCTTCAGGACGTGTTTCATTGTGGTGATAGTGAGGGTAGTCAATCGTTTTGTTGACAAGACAGTAGTGACGGCCATCTTGGTGACGTGTGTTGTTGACCAGAGATGTAGTTCATTGAGCGTTTCACACAAACAAATGTGTTACTTCACAGTTTTACGACACATTTTTTTTTACTTGCAAAATTATCTTTTAAATTGACAAACATCATATGTGTAATTCGTGGCACAATTCAAACGGGATCGAAAGATAATCTTTCTCTCTCCATTGACTTCAATACATAATTCTTTCGAAATAAGGTCCCATGGAGGTCCACCGGAAGGGGAGGGACTTCGCCACTCTATGCGGGACTCCCTGTTAGTTAGCCAAGGGATCCTGGTGTGTGAGGTGCTCCGCGGATTGGTCCATTTGGACCAATGAGGTGCCCTGATGGCTCGCCACTGCTTGGTCGAAAACATAGGTAGTCAGGCCCACATAAATGATAAAAATGAAACAAAGGATCCAGCTCGACAAAAACCTCAACCTGCCAATGGGTTTCTCCCTTCTCCGTTCCTCCTTGTATAAAAACGCTTCAATGACTTTGTTTAGTGGGTTTACTTGGTTATTACAGTAGGCACGCCAGTATTAAATATACAAGCAGTTAACAGGTTATTCAAGTTTAATGTAAACAGTATTTCCCACATGAGATTATAACCAGGATATGACTAAAGCGATTAAGAGGGTTACTAATATGCAGTGGTGGCCCCAGGCTGTCTGAGGAACAGGGGCGACGAAAATAAAAGGTAATTTTAAGGCAATCCTAGAGGTCATTTGCATTTCCTTCACTTGAAAGGAGCACCATAGGGCACGTTAAAATATATTTTTTAAACTGGATCACATTTTATACACGGGAAGGGCACCATAGAGGGGAACTTCTGCTGCATGTTTTGAGTTTTGAGTCCAGCAGTGCTACGTATGTATCTCATAGAGTACCTAATGAGAAATGTGGTAAATCCTCCCTGATTTTGTTGTTCTTTGTTTACTGCAGATGTTTTCTTCTCCCTCAGTCTCGCTCTGATGGTGGCCAGCCTGTTGGAGACGGTGTTGATCACTTATGTGCATTTCAGCTCGAGTCAGTACAGTGCGGTCCCTCACTGGCTCAGTGTCATCGTGCTGCGATATCTAGCTGTCGTTGTCTGTCTCCCTCCAAAGAAAAAGAGCAACAGAGTCACTGTCGTCCTCTCTCCTGCTAAAGGTTTATTATTATTTTATTAAATACAGATATATTAATATTTTACTCAAAAATTACAATCTTTCCAGGTGTATGCATGTCGCTCCAGAAGCACCCTTTGGTTGGATTGTATTCAAAGTATTGCTGCTGAGATTTCAAGCAGTAGGATAACAATTGAATGTTTTAAGTGCACCTGATGATCATTTTATAGTACACCTGCCATAAAGAAACTATTCTTATTCTTCATACCCATTGGATAATCTATTAGACTGGGAAATAGACATTTTCCGCACAAGTTTGTCTATGTCACATAATTTAGATTTCAAAGAAACTGTTCTTTGTTTTTGACAGAAAAAGAAAAGGATTTCAGCTTCAACAACATCTCAGCGATTCATCTTCAGCGCGCCCCTGGTGAAACATCTCCAGAGAAACAGCCTGTGGAGCCGGCCCTGGAAGAACTGAGGAAGCTGAGCAGAGATCTCTTGGCCATCCGCTTCCAGGTGGACAAACACTTCCAGGGGAGCACCTCCTCTCAGGAATGGCAAATGATCGGGATAGTCATCGACCGTCTGCTGTTCGGCTTGTACCTCGTCTTCATCATTGTCAGCTTCATCACTATTATATGTATCTGGAGCAGGAGCAGCTATACAGTATGATTAACCTTTTTTTTTGTACAGGCTAAAGACACAAACATGGACATAACAATAACATATAGAAGATGACATTCCCATCTCAGACAAAAACAAAACAAAAGCAGAAGAAATAAAGATACAGTCAGTAGGATCACTTCAACATTTCACAAACAAAAATAGGTTGACAACCAAATACCACCAAAAACAACATGGCAAGCATATTTATTGTTCCTTTAATCCCACTCTTCGATAGAGCTAATTATTTCCCATTTCATTGCGTGGTGAGCCACCCTTTGATTTTTTGTAGCAATCATTTTTTCCAAAAATAAAATCTTTTCTACTGGATTTACAACGTGTCACATGTTCTGAATTGACCAATCAGAACTTTATGTGGGCCGCGAAAAAATGTTTGATTCTAAAAGGTGGGGTAGGTAATTCACTTCAGAAACACTTTTTGTTATATTCCATGGAATGCTCTTAACATCCCGATAGCAATGAATATATTAAATGCTTTGACAATAAATACATAAACAAATGTCATCTGTGGAAGCCGTAGCGCTGTAAAAAGTACGACCAATCATTTTAGTCGGCCCGGCTAAAATAACTGGATGGCCTACCTGCCTGTCAGCCTTCCATCTGTGCACAAACTTATCTCGTGCCCTCATTGGTCATGTGCACGTTCGTGTGTGTTGGAGGAGGGGCTCTGCAAGGAAGTCTGAAGGAAGAGGCAGATTTTTTCCGGTTGTGTACTTTCAAATTCTAGCGCACTCGAGCTGGTTTCTCCATTCTTACCTACCTTTAAGTGGGCCACGAGTTGAAAAAGGTTGGGAACCGCTGACCTAGACGGTTAAACGCCTGGTTGAGAAAATGATTACACATAGTAGCAGCTTACATTGTGATAAACTGACAATAAATGATTTGAGTTTATGGATCTTGCAAAAGCCTGTTGAGATCATATGAAGTTTTGACTACATATTTTTTAACAATAAATATAGGTGTCTCTGTGACTTTGTAGCCATCTGGTGTCATACCAAAAACTGTTTTGACCCATACTGGTGGCTCATGTGCATACAATAACAATGCCAACATGATGTTTAGCAGGTGTGATGTTTACCATGTTCACAATGTTAGTTCAGCGCGTTAGCATGCTAACATTTGTCCATCAGCACCTTCTTATTATACATCCATGATCAGCACTAAACATACTACAGCTGAGGCCGACGGAAATGTCATACATTTAGTTTCATTCACTTGCTATTACAAATGACCATAAAGGTAGATGATGTACTGGCTTGAGAACTTTATCATTGTTAAAAGTTTTTATTTAGATACACTGACTAACTTGGTAACAGGGCTACAGCTGTTTTTAATTGTTTCTGAAATCATCAATCTGTACTTGGGTTTGCCTTTTATTATAACCTGTTGTATACTACAAACCCCAAATCATCTACATAATTTACAAGGTATATGTTCTATAAACTAAAAAGGTTTTGCATACAGCGGGCAGGGATTTTCCTCCATTTTGTCTACTATATCAAGCCAACATCAGTTCAAGATAATTAAGAGTAAATTACCAATAAGGACTAAACTAAATAAGGAACTCAAAAACTTTTATTTTTCAGTGATACTCAAGAGTTTGCTTATTTTCATTGTTTTACTTTTCTTTTTTAATCCATTCCTCTTTTGGACTCAAGTCACATTTGGCTCCGATTAAAAATAAATGTTAGTTGCCTCCCTTCTTCAGTTTAATGATATTAGCTTATTCTTGTTAAATAAACAACAACCCGCATCAACAGTCCGACCAGTCTTTTATTGTGAACATATTTACAGAACAAAGACAAATTAACACAAATAATATTTATATTAACAATAATTAACAATTTGAATAATGGAACCTTTAATCTGTAGTGCACATTAAACCTCCCCACACCTCCATTTAAATGCGGTCCAAGAGTAAAACAATCTGCCGAGTCGACGCTTCTCAGTGGAGCGGAGCGTTCGTTCATGAGCCGCGAGCTGAAGAGTTCAGTGTTTCAAAGCAGCCTGGTTTAAAGTGAGACATGGGTGCAGTTCATCTCTTTAATACTCGTCTTTAGAGGCTTGGGGACATGTCACATGTATTGCTTTACGTTTTATCTCATGAGAGTTTGTTTACCTCGTGAAAGATTGTACACATAAAGCAAAGCCTGTTGAGGATGGTATGTACTCTCCATTAACAATTTTACCTGGAACTGGAGTTCAGTGTAAAGGGTTTGATTTACTCAGTGTGTTGCCAATCTAAAAAATATCCTTCTATTAATAACTATGGCTTGAACTTTATATATCATTTATTAAAAAAATATACTCTGGAGTTTTAATCTAACCAACTGAGCAAATAGTAGTCACTTGAGTCCTAGAAGTAAAATAAGATGTTTTAAGTCAATCTCAAATGAATATCAGACCAGTGGTTCCACACTAAGGAGGTCACCAGATGATTGAATAAACAAGATATAATGAAATCAAAATTACCATTTGGTCAAACTGCTTTGTTAAATACTGAGCTTTAATGGTGCTAGCATGCAGGTTGTTTTACCGAGCCATCAGTTTCGCTCTCTTACAAGACTCGAAGCAATGCAAAGGTAAACTATCCAGCTGCTTGCTACAAATGTAGGGCCAATACGTTTTGAAACCATTGTACTAGACCAAAATTATTTGAAAGTGAAAATCAACTTAAATGTGATGAGATTCAGTCCAAAAGGTGATGAATGCGTAATGATTTTGCTGCATGTTAATATAATCACTTTATTTAATTGTAGCTCTCTTATTTTGGACTGAAACGCTTAACATGTGACTTCAACAAACAGCAACATTTCACGGTGAAGGTTCATGTTCTTATAACGAACATTAGAAGAATCCCCATAGTGGCGTCCCAACACACAACCCCACCCCCACCCCCCAGCAACAGACAGGATCAGTGCAATTAACTCGACTCTCCAAAGACAAACGTTGTTAGAAAATAAGTGCTGATTAGGCTGGATCAAACCATTTCTGCATGGCTGCATGTACAGCAGGTAGACATGTGCCCATACACACACACACACACACACACACACACACACACACACCTATTCACAAAGCTTTTCGTAGTAAAAACACACACACACACACACACACCTCACTCACACAAAGCAGCACAAAAATGGAGCATTTGCAGTTTCATTTAAAATATTTTCAACACTGACTCTAAAACTCAGAAGTCAAGTCCTTCTTTAAACTCATCTTTCCAAAATAACTCTGCTAGCTCTACCAGTACAAGTTAATTGGTCCCAGAGGCACATCAGCATGGCTAAAATAGTTTAAAACAGGACAGTAAGGAGCGAGGAAAATAATAGGATTGATTAAATATCTTCAATATATTAACGTTAAGGGCAGGATTGCTCAAATACAGTATCTGCACTGAAAAATCTGTCAAAAATATAGACTAGATCTAAGCTTTTTTTACTTGCTATTATATATTTCTTAAAAATAGATCCTTAGTTCAGAAATACAAACTTCAGCTAAGCCAGTAGCCAACAATATCACCAGAGGTAAAGCAGTTGCCAGAAGCCGCAATGGTAGGAAGGAACAATATCTTAACTGGTTATAATTGTTTTCTGATCTACTTAGACCTCAAATATATTAGTTTTACCACAGAGGAACAAAGTGCCAAGAAGTTTAGTACATCTCAAGCCCTTTTCACACATGTTACTGCAACATGGACAGTGTGGAATATTCCTGTAAGGCAGAGGGACTTTTCATTTACACTTTTCTTTAGAACAATGAAGTGTATATCTTTGTCACACAACTTTGTCTCACAACTGCCACAATGTTTTTGGTGATACTGCCAGTAGAGGTCACCAGAGTATCAAACAAAATAAAGTTACATTAGGAATTAGTTATAAACCAATCTGAACTTAATTCAATGAATGTTGTTTTTAAAGCCAAGTTTCTTTTTGCGATCTCTTTGAAAGAAGACACTTAATTTTCATGGAAAATCGACTTAGGTCTTCTATTCAAAGTTACGCTGACTACCTCTATTCACAGAGTAACGTGCAAGTGTGAAAGGGGCTTAGCTTACACTAAAAGCATCTGAAAATCCACAGTAGCATTACTAAACACAGCTGATGCCCGGATGCGTTTAAACCATCTGGAAGTCTATCAGATCAAAACATTTGTTTGCAGTATTGTCTCGCAGGCAGAGGATTAGAACGCAAAGAGGTGTTCAGTCACTACAATCATGGTCGAATTGTGCTCTTCTCTCGTCTTAGAGTTTATTCGGTTACCAGCACTAAGGCCCACCTCCCTCATCTTCTTGTTCCTCCATGTTTTTACGTGCCAGCCTCTCCCTCCGCTCTGCCAGCCGCTGACATCGAGGACAGTCTTTACCTGTCCGGAAGCAGTTTCGATGATAGCACGCATGGCACTCTGTAGAGGGGAGAACAAAAACAAGAGTCAGAGATACAACACGTCATCTTTACAAGAGGAACCGTTTTGCATGGGAGCAGCTCCAATCGGCCAAACCAAACATTGCTGCAGTGTCCACAAACTTTAACCAGTAAAACCAGTTTCCCCAACAAGGAGATGTGATGTATCAACAGAACAGCCAATCACAATCAGACCTGATGGAGGCAGGGTGAGGAGGACAGTATAAAAGAGCAGAAATGAAAGGCAGCGCAGCAGAAGGCAGGAGGAGGCTCAGTGTGAGAGGGCTGGTATCCTGGGAGACACACACCACACCCTAAACCTGCTCAGACACATCCCATTTCCCCCAGAGGCCAACAGAGTGCTTTATAACCCTTTCATTCCCTTAGAAATCGACGGAATAAATCAACGGAAATTGTTTTGTTTGTTTTTCTAAAAATGTCTGATGATGGTGGGATGAAATGACAAGCAACTCAACTTCAAAAATGGCTTTTATTTGTTCAAAGGAAGATGAAACTTAAATAAAAGCAACTAAAATAATAAATAGACATTCATACTGGCACGTGGAGGCACCTCATGTTAATGAGACATTCTTTCTTCAACAGAAAAATAAATAAAATACAAAATGGATAAAACAATAGGCGATGTTTCCTCTAAACTAGTAAAAGAGTCTGAATTGAAATGAAACATCACTTCTGCTGATTTCAGAAGATGAAGTAGCATTTGTTTAGGATAAAAACAAGACTCCTCCACTGGCTCAGGGGGAACATGTATAACAGAACAAACTTAAAAACATGGCCAAAACAAACTGAAATGTAAACGTTTATGAGTGATCCACACACCACTTAGGTATCATTTGCCATCCCTGTGGCCAAGACAAAAGCAGAACATAGCTCAGAGAGAGGAAACTAACCTCTGATGACAATTAGAGTACCAGTCATCAAGCTCTACACCATCACCAGCACCAGCCAAAGGGATCCACCACCACATAGCTGTCAAATATCTACCCTCCACCAGCCGAGCAAGTGTGCAAACTTCAGAATCAAAG